ACGCGCACGCGCACGCGCACGCGCACGCGCACGCGCACGCACACGCACACGCACACGCACACGCACACGCACACGCACACGCACTCGCACACGCACACGCACACGCACACGCGCACGCGCACGAGCACGCGCACGCGCACGCGCACGCGCACGCGCACGCGCACGCGCACGCACACGCACACGCACACGCACACGCACACGCACACGCACACGCGCACGCACACGCACACACGCACCTCGCACACGCACACGCACACGCACACGCACACGCGCACGCACACGCACACACGCACCTCGCTTTGCGGTGCATCACCTGCATCCCTTGTATCACTTGCATCCCCTTCTTCACCTTCATCCCCTGCATCCCCTGCATCCACTACATTCACTACGTCCCTGTAGGTAATGCGTCCTGCGTGCGCTGCTTGGGGCTTTTGATGCGATCGACCGCATTAGCAGAGGGACCTCTGCAGGAGTGGCGCTGATCCTTTGTGTTAGCAGGATTTTAGTCTGATGTAGGCCAGCCAACAGTCAGCCAACAACTGGTTTTTGTTGTGTGTGTTTGTGTGTTTGTGTGTTTGTTTGTGTGTTTGCTTGTTTGTTGGCTTGCTTGCTTACTTGCTTGCCTGCTTGCTTGCTTGCTTGCTTGCTTGCTTGCTTGCTTGCTTGCTTGCTTGCTTGTTTGCTGGCTTGCTTGCTTGTTTGCTGGCTTGCTTGTTTGTGTTTGTGTTTGTGTTTGTGTTTTTGTGTGTGTGTGTGTGTTTTGAGAGGCACCGTTTTTTGGGGTGGTGAAACCTGGAAACCAAAAAGGGTCCCCAATTTCGACATGCAATCTCCCGGTGCTCGAGGAGCTTTCCCTGTCCCACGACCGGCGCCTGCTCTGCCGCGTGGGTGCGGACGGCAGGCGCGAGCCTCGTTGAGCTCCGGAGGGGGGTGGGGGGTGGGGGGGGGCAAGTGGGCGTGTCTTTCTTTCTTTGTTTAAACGGGGGCCAAGCATTTTTTAGAGCCCCCTTAAGAGGTGGGTGGCCCTCTTAGAAGCAGATCCTCTTGGGTTTTGCTCTGAGTCTCCCATATGATCCTAAAAAAGGGTAGCCTCTCCGAAAAATGGGTTTTCCTCTTGGTATGTTCTTTGAAGCCACCGGAAAAGGTTGGCACCCTCCAAAAAAAGACAGACCTGGTTTGGAAGGGCATTTGAATGGTTGGCTTTCCTTTTGGCGCCCTTTGAACCCCAAACCCAAAAAGAGTGCCCTCCAAAAAGAGACACGCACTCTTTGACCCTCTCCTCTTTTACCATCATGGACATGGACGATCGGGGGCTGAAACCAAACGGAAAGTATCCCGGGCCCCAGTGCCCCTTTACCCTTTTTTGGTTGGGAGGGTAGCAACTTATTCTAACCTCTCTGGAGGACCTAGTATCCATGGGAGGCTACCTTTTGACTACTGATGAACATGGAGCCCTAAAGCCGACTCATGTTTATAGTAATGGCACCTTGGAGGCCCGCCTCGGGTATGTTAATTCGTAGACTGGTCGACTTGACGCCTAGGGGTTCGGGAAAGCTAGGTGCGACCCTTAGCCGGACCGCGGAACCCTCCCAAAGTGTTTCAGGGTTCCGTTCCAAGACCTCTCAAGGGTAGGACATTGGTTGTCCTCTGCGTTCTTCTTGGGCTTCTTTTCATCAAGGGCCATGGTTCGACCCCTGCGCCAGGGTCTTTGAAGCAAGCCTGGGTTTGGCACCTTGGGACCTCCAGGAGCGCTTGGAAAGAGCAGGAGAAAAAAAGGGGCCGTTGATTTGTTGGGTAACAACCCCCGTAGAAGAATCGGAACCCGGAAAGATGATCTCCCCCCTCATGGACTCAAAAAGGCCATGCGGGAGAGTCAGAAGTGCCCTAGATCAACCCCGGTGGTTGGTTGACAATAAGGGCCATGGTTGGCGTTTTCGCCACCTGAGCCCCTGAAACTCCCTTGGGGTTTTGACATGGATTGCAAAGAACGGGGGAAGAGCTATCTGGAAACCAAGCTGAGAATCGTCCCCGCCAGAGACACAAACGCGGATTTCAGGGGCGACCTGCCCGTCCTTGGTGTTGTTTTGGGGCACTCAGCTGGCATATGAGCACACGAGAAGCAGCCACTTGTTCCTCTATTTTTCCGCCTGTTCGGATTCCCTCCCCCTGCTTCCCCCAAAGCGAACACCCATGATGCCGAGCTTTCCCAGTTTCCCATGAAAAACAAATAGCTGTGAGTTTTAATTGGGAACCAACGATCCCCAAGTGGGGACGTTGGACGTGAATCTTCACCGAATTCTGATGTTCACCAAAGGGTTCCTGGGTATGTTTCAAAGTATCCACTGACAATTTATGAAGCCGGGATTTCGGTTTTCCTCTCAGTTTCACTTTACACCATCCCGCAAAAAGGGTACCAACTCAAAACATGACACATACACACACACATGCCAAGCCGAAGTCATTTTGTGGGGTCCGATTCCAAAAAAAGACAGACCATCCAAACAACCTCCTTCTGTCCTCTGCTTCAACATGTCGCGGCTTGATCAACAAAAATGTCCGAGAATGGGATGACCATCGAACACCGCCATGGAAAAAGTCACCACGGGGTCCCATGGGGGAGGTGCGTGTGCTACTCCTGCGACAACGCGCGCCCGGAGCTGCGCCTGGCCACGTTGGTGGCGGAGCAGGTTTCATGGGGTCGGGGTTCCGTTGAATGATTCGGGGGGGGGGCTGGAACCCATCATTGTGGACAAGGGGGGGAGTTTCAGGTAGGTTCCAGAAGTTTCTGTTTTGCTGGAGCCCATGGTTGTGGACAAGGGGCATTTCGGCTGCCATTTTTTGTGATACCAGGTTTCCCTCTAGCACAGGCAGCGTGGCCATATCTTGGTGGCTCCCAGCCATCGGGTTCCTGAGCTGCTGAGTTGTGTTCAGTTGGTTTAGTGGAAATTTCCGAACAAAATCCAGTAAATGCTAAACTGTTCGCAGGGGATCTGAGGGCAGCCCAGATATGCCGTACTGCGGATGGACAAAATCTGTTCGCACCACTTTGAATCCATGGTTGAACTCACAACGCTTGTTGGTGTTTGCAGGGGAATCATCGGTACGGCAACCCCAAAAAGGGCATCACAAAATGCTGGGGTTTCTAATCAAGAGGGAGGTTTTCCATACAAAATGGGCGGTGCCCCCCCCCCCCCCCCAAAAAAAAAAGAGGGCGGTTTCGCCGGGGGCTTCCTTAATTTGGTGGCGGTATCGTTTAGAATATCTCAAAGCTCATTTCCTAAACTCGTTTTGAGTGGTGGTTTTCGTTTAACGTCGAACAGGCAGGCCCAAAGCGCGGTTGAAGCATCAACCCAGACTTCTAACTCTTGTAGAGGAGTAAGAAACCAGGGCGCAAGTTTTTCATGAATCTGCAAGGCTGACTTGGGTCAGCATCGGCAATGAAGAAGCTTTGATTCCGCTGTTTGGCTGCTGGCAATCTTATCATTTTGTCACATTGGGGTCTTCTTGCAGGCCATTTTCGGGGGGGTTTCCCATGAACCCGGAAAAGCTCCTTGGAGTCGCCACAAAGGCTCATCTATAGAAACACCAAAATCGGCCTGAGACCAGCCTCGGAGGATCGGAGGGCCAGGGTCATTCTTGAGAGGCTCCCCAAAATACTCCCCACAAGCCTCAGTAGAAGAGCCGGTCTATGAAGGTCCATTTTTTGCGGCTCCCCTTTTTCGAGTCGATATTCGCCCAGAATCAACCCGGGCTTATTAACTGTTCAATCTAGGTCCCCGAGTAGTGACTAGTGCCCTTCTCTCCCCTTTTTGGGGGGAGGGTTCCCCTACTAAAACAGGCTACAGGGAAAAATCGGGTAGCAACTTATTCTAACCTCTCAAACCTGGAGGACCTAGCAATTCGTCCTGGCTTTCCAGCCGGAATTCGAGCCCTTCGGCCGGCCAGCGACTTTTCTCGGCCGCTCGGAAAAGGTGGACCAGTGCGTGTGGCAGCAAATCCCCGCGGAGACACAGGCGCGAGCCGCGCGTCCCGAGTCCGAGCCGCGGGAGATTCTTTTCGTCCCTGGCGGCTCACTGAAAGGTTTGGCCCCTCCCAAAAGTTGCAGTTTCAATTAGAGCCCACTACTTTGAAGGGGACATCCAGTGACCCCTGTCCCCTGTTCCAATTGAAATCAAATGCCAAAAGGGTGCCCTGGAGCGTTCATAGAGGTGCCAACTGGCGGTTCAGGGTTTTCCTGGTTTTGGGAGTTTAAACAACTGCTCCTACCACCCGGTGGGCAAAACTGGGGAGCAGAGAGGAGATAATTGAAGATTGAAGGTGAACACACGCACACGTTAAGATATCATCCAGGGCTTGATGAATCTTGGGTCCTCAGGGTTTATCCTGAAACCTTCCAAGGGGAGCTCACTTGAGCAACGCCCAAAGCCACCATTGGCCATTTTTTGGTAGGTGGTGCTACTACCACTCGTTTCAGGAGGGTTATGGTAAGGCTTGTATAAACCTTCACAACCATATTATAGTAGAGCCAGAAGTGAATAGGTGTTGGTCGTTGCTTACTCGATCATGGCTCCCAAAAGTGAAGAGATGATCACGTGTGTTCAGGTTCCTTCGCCCTCATGGGCAGCTCGTCTTTCTTGAGGAACAGGACGCCCCCCCAGATGGCCCAGCGGTTTTCCTTGGTTGAACATCGGTCAGCCAGAAGGCCACATCTGGGTGTGGCTCAAAGTTAAACAGGAGGGGCAAACCGCAGGTTTTGGTCCATGTTTCCACTTACCAGGGTTCCATTGTGGTACCGGTTTCGCAGCCATGTGGGAGACGTCCGCCAGGTGCAACTGTCGACTCACTCGCTGTCGGAATACCCTGGTGCCGCGCTGAGAGATGGGCTTCAACGTGAGGAGGTAGCAGAGAAGTTTTTGGTTTTTTCCCCCCGCAACCGTGCCGGGGTGAACTTTACGCCGGGATAGTGACTTTTTGCAATAACCTGCTTGTAAGGTTCACTAGATTAAATATGGGCCAGAATCAAATATAGCCCATATAAGGAAATCTCCATAGAACAAACCTTCATCATGAAGGACGGTTGGTCCCTTCCGCTAGCGGTTGGTCCCTCTAAGTTGCCCAGATTCAGGGGTTCCACTGGCATGATGAGGCCTAACCCTCCCAGCCGTGGACTGCTGACTTGACCCGAGACGAGCTTCCTCTCGGAAAAAAGGGGGATAGGGATTCAACCACCGTTGAGGTGGTTCCAGCTCTAAAAGTCATTGCCATCTGGGACAATAACTGGTGTCTCCGCTTCTGTTTGAGCTGGCACTTTTGTTAGAGGTTGTTTTCAATGGACACCATATAAAACAAATTAGCTGGCCCCGAGGTGTGGCCTGCCTGGTGGCGCTGCACCGCAGCAACGCCGCGTTGGGGGCGCCGAACGGGGGTTGATGGGGTGGGGTGGTGGAGTATGTTGGAAAGTTAGGGCGACATTTTGCGGCCAACTTGTTTTTTCTTCTTTCGGGGTGGGGTGGTGGGCGGGCTGTAAAGGAGTCAGTGTGGGGCGTGAGCCCGACAATATGACTACATCTATGTCGGCTTTCATGTTGCCGTGTGAAACATGTTTTTAATTTTGTCATTCACAGCATCCATGGGAATCTGCTGAGCAAGAAGGAAATCGATAGGGTACAAGGTCACAAGAGGATATCCCTCAATCTTGCAAACTCACTTTGGGGGACTACCATTAAAACATGATCTATTTTCGGCCATTGCTTATATGGCAAACCTCTTTCGGAAACCTTCACAGCGGGCTGGTGGCTGCTTGCAAAACATATGCGACAGTTACTTGAAACCCGGACGACAGACCAGTCCCCGGCCTTTCCCGAACGCGCTCAAGGTTCCGGCGCCCCCTGCCGCCGACCACGCGCCATAATTTTGCGCAACCCCGCTGCCAGGGGGGAAAAACGTGTTCGGGCGCATTTTTGCGATTTCCCCGCAGAGTCAAAAAACGAGCGTTTTTTGGGGGTGCCCATAGTGGACAACATCCCCGGCATCACCTGCATCATCCGCATCCATGGCAGACATTGATGCGGATGATGCCAGTGATGCGGGGGATGCTGGGGATGTTGTCCCCTAAGTCGGGCCAATTTTGCCGAAAACATGAACACTCTGTGTTTTGTCATAGTTTTTGAAGAAACTGAATGGCATGGCTGTCAGTGATGCAAGCTGTTTCCAGGCCATTCGAAAGGAGGTGCGGGAGGTGCCGAAGGCTCGAATCTTGAGCTGCAGAGATGAGATGTGACTCGGGAGACTATTGAAGCTATGCTTGCAGAGCATGAAGCACATCTGCGACAACTTGTCGAAGGACGTGCTGGAAAATCTATCTTTCTGGAAGGAGTTCCAGGAGCTCTTGAAGGTTAGCAACAAAGACTTGAGACGAGCTGCCAGTAAGCCAGGGTTGTGGGATCAAGCGGTTTACTTCCCTGATACAAGGGAGTCTCCCCCCTTTTTTTCTGCGGCTTCAGCCCTTTCTGTTTCACGGAAGCGGATTCCATTTCAACCACAGCCCTGCACGACCCGAGTCTTTCAACTTGAAGTTGAAACGGTCCGCTTGGCCGAATGTCTGAGGTCCAGCTAACAACGCCTCAAGGCTCCCAGGCGACCCTTCGCTATGTTTGCCCTTTGTGGCGGCTTTGTGACCATGTGGGTCCAATCTCTTTTCAAAACAAATGAAGTGCGGTTCGTTCGGGGGCTCGGTGGGGTGATGTTTAAAGGAGAAGCATGGGGAACCGTTGGTGTGATAGAGAAGGACTGAACAGATCTTTCGCACCTCAGGTTTTCTATTGAATCTTCTAGTCTAGAGGTTGATTCCACATTCTTTTCAACCACCAAATTGTTCTGAAACCGAATTTTCTGCTGGCTGTGTTGGTTTCTGGAGAGAAGGATACTGGAAGGCATAGGGAAGCTATGTGGAGAAGCCTGCGCAAGTTGCCTTACGTTGTCCCATTCGGGACAGCAAGAAGGGGGGGCTCCAAACACTTGGCGGTTCCCAGCCATACGGTTCCTTAGGCTGCTAGACTATTAGAGTTTGGGATATATATTCTATGTCCCTCCTGGCCGAACTTTTAGACTATCCACACAACACTAAGTACAGTTCTGGGCAAACATCCGATTTCTTCAGACGCGATTTGCTTATCAGGTGCAACAGGCTATGCAAAGTTGATTCTCACTTTAGCTACCACTTACTTCACACTATAATTGAGACCCCATCTAACAATTTGGCACCACCCAGACACGAATCCCCCCCCCCCCCCCCACTCGGTTGTTTTTCAGGTCCGCTGATTGTTTTCGTTTGTTCATTTTTGCTACCCCCCCCCCCCCCCCCATCATAGCAGAAACACTTGCTAATTGAGATGGCAGTTCACACTTTTTTACTCTGTACCGCTGCTCAAGTTTTACCAATACCAAGCATCTCTGGGTCTCTGGGTATGTCTTCGGGGCCGGGAGCGCCACGTCCGGTTGGTTGCAGAGTTTGCAACGCAAGCCCCCATTCGGCCCCCGACAGGGACACCCAAAGCAGGTTGTTGAAGCAGGTTTAAACATGTGGGTGGCTTGTTTTTGGTTTCCCGTTTTAAAAAAAGAATTGTTTTTGGTTTCCCTTTTTTTTAAAACAAAAATAAACAGCTTGTTTTCGGTTTCCCTTCTAAGAACACCAAAGGGATCCTTTCAGCTGGAAAGCCGAGGCTCAGCTTCTGCCGCTTCGTGGGCCTCGACTCCGAGGTGAGGGACCTCCCGGCGCAGGCGGAAGCGCGGACCGGAAGGGCGGCCGGGGGGTGTTCCGTTTTGGGGGAAAACGCATTTTTCACCGTAGAAAAGGGAGCCCAAAGTCAGGAACGCCCAATTTTTGTTGGGATCCCAGACATACCCATTGCTTTTGAATGTACAGTTGAATATGGGTAAGGACTCCCTCTTCGCCTTGGTTTGAAAGGAAAGCAGAAGAACAACCGCCATTTTGGGCGTCTCCAATTCTTTTTTGACACGTATCCTCCGGTCAGGCTGATCGGTCGGAAGAACGGAGTGGAGCGGGTCGGAAGGGGCGAGTGCGAGGCATGACATGGGAAGTGCCCAGGACATGAATAGGAGGGAACTACAAGACACCAGCTGCTGGACATTCACAGGAAGCTAGACAAATACCTAAAAGTTTGGGCCAACTTGCTCTAGAGTTTCCACTGGTTTCTTGGAAAAAGATGAGGGAACCGTCTCTTCCCATTTGCCACACGTTGCCTTTGACTTTGTGTGAAATTCCGTGTTTGGGTGCGTCGGGTACCCCCGCCAAAAAATGGCTGGATTCCTTTTGGTTCCCCTTAGAACCAACCAAAGAGGGGTCCCTCAAAAAAGGCGCAGCCATTGTCCAATCTTCCGCTCTCTTTTTCTCAAGGACGCGGCGACGACATTTTCGTTTGTTCGCATCTGCACTTTTGGGGCGACCTGCAAATGGAATGGTCCGATTGATCTCGTCCAAACCAGGAGCCAACTAGTTTTGGGCGTGCCTTTAGAATCACCCTCAAAACCAACCTCACTGAAACTTGGCCACCAACCTAGTAGCATACCGAACAAGACACAGTGGATGTCGAGCTGGGAAAGTTGTTGAAAGTGAACGAGCTTCCAAAACGGGATCTGCATTTGTGCCACAAGATTCCCTGCCTGGTTGGGGAGCAAATGAGCAGGGGTTACCAGGTTATCTATTTGGCTGTGGGTCAAAACCAATGGTACCATGTTGGGGTGGGTGCACCATCCATTTTAGTCTATTTAAGTGGGGATTGGGATGTTCACTGGGGGTACGGGCTTTTGACCCATGGCCATTTTACCACCCAACAGAAGGACACGAGCGGTTTCCATGCACCAGCCAGTAGGTTCTTTGAATCAGCGAGTGCTGCTCCTTGACCCAGCCCAGTTGGCGGACGACGCGGAGCGCTTGGAGCACGGGGCGCCATTGCTGACGCGGGGATGCCAGCGGACTGCTGGGGGTGGTTGGGTTGCTTGGTTGGATTGCTTGGTTGCGTTTGGTGAGTTCTTGAAGTGGAGCTGCTTAGTTTTCTTTTGTGATGTGTTCGGCTCCTGCTCTTGGATAGTGGATAGCAAGCTATGTAAGGGGTGCGTGCGTGCGTGCGTGCGTGCATGCGTGCGTGCGTGCGTGCGTGCGTGTGCGTGTGTCAAAATCTGGCTTGACCCAGCATACCACCAAAAACCAACAGAAGTGCTTAGAATGACGGGTGATATTTGTCATTTTCCACCCTTGAGTCGAAATTGACAAGTTGTCTTGCCAGTCTACTTCCATTGCCGAATGAGTGGCGATTCGTTTCTTTTTTTCAAACCATATTCCTGCTCGTTTTATGTGGAGCTGACTACCCGTACTTGCCAGTCTGGTCAATGCATGAGTCAAGAGACAGCGAGACTCCAACTCCTCCATTTGCTTAAGAACATGTTTTCCCTTGTTGGTTTGAAAAGGAATTCATCACTGCTGTAGATATTTTTTATTTTCCCGTGGAGCCTTAACCAAATGGACGAATTTGCGGCTGGGCCTAGAAAGGTGGACTTGGGTGATCTTGGGTTCCATCCCGCAGGGTTCTTTTCTCGGGAAATGCATCTGAACCCACCCTTCAAGCGCAGTTCGGCCCGTGAGAGAGCTTTTTGCATTGCCTTCATGTGGGTGTGGGTCAAAATTAAACCACCAGGATATGGACCGCAGATTTTGGTCCATGTTTCCACTTACCAGGGCAAGGCATTTTGGGGTTACCCTATTTTTGACCCGCAGCCATGTCCAGGACGTCCACAGGCGATGACGACGTAAAACAGAGCTGTTCTGACTTGTACAATGTCGGACACACATGGGGGCAAAGCTCTTCCGTGCAAAAGGAAATTGTAGAAGCTGATCCAGTCTGGCAACTCTGAAATCCTTGTGTGGGATACTCACATCTTCAAGATGCAGCCGGGGCAACTCTGAAATCCTTGTGTGGCATACCAGGGACGTTTCCAATCATCAAGTTGTCACACGGGCTCAAGTTTCTCTGTGCATGCCCCTGACATTCGCCCAGGCCAACGATGCCCTTGTTTGCTTCTTCGGTGTGGCCTATGCTTTGGTTTGGCCAAGTTTGAACGTGCATGTCTGGTACTAGCATGGCCTTTATCAAGCCGTAAGGCCAAAACCTGTCGCTCAACTTCAGACCGGGTTTTCTCCATGTCCTTTTTGGAAGCTCCAAAAGTGGAGACCGCTCGGTTCAATAGTTCAATGGCAACCACCAACTTCAAACATCCAGACCCCTGTTTCGGATTGGCTTACGGTTTCGGCGTCTTCATTTTGGCTGTGAACGGAGCGTTAAAGAGAGAACTGGTTTTCCGGATGTTTGGGTCTAGCAGGGGTTGCCTACTTGGATGATCGTTAGTAAGTGGTTTGGAGGATAAACTCATGGGGGCTGCTGGGGAGGGAGGGGAGGGAATAAGCCTTTATCAAGCCCCTAATAAGGCCTTAATAAGGGGCGGCAATAAGCCTTTATCAAGCCCCTAATAAGGCCTTATTTGGGGCTCCCTCCCTCCCCCCCCAAGCCCCCAGACAAACCTACTTGGGGGACTTTCTGAATGGGTTACTGACAAGTTGCCACCCGGACTTGTCATCCAAGCAGCTACTGTGGATGGACAAAATCCATTTCGCACCACTTTGAAACCATGGGAATGAAACCAAAACGTTGGTTGGTATTCACAAGGGGAAAATCGAATCAGACACCAGGGTTTCTTGGGTGGTGCGAAATGGATGGATTTCGCAACCATCCAAGCAGCCATGGCGACCACTGGCGGTGGGAAGCAACAATGGTTAGAAAGCAGTTTGAAGGATAAACCTACTTGGGCGCCTTATGCGTGGCTAACCACTTTCCAACTGGGCTCGTCATCCAAGCAATGGCTTTCCACGCGCACCACCCAGCAAGGGGTTTCTCGCAAGGGTTCTGAGACCCGTTGTAAGGTGGTCCGAAGAGGCGGGATGTCGGAGACTTCGAAAACCGCGCGCTCGAGCGCTCGAGAGGGGCCATCCGGGTCTCCTTTAAGACATCCAACGCGGTTTTGAAAACCCCCGATGCGAGCTGGAACCAAATTGGCCCAGCTTTGGGCCAAGCCCCTGTTCCTTGTAGGAGTTGGGGAAGTTTATTCTATTGGCCAACCACCTTAGTTCTTATATTCTACCTAGGTCTCGAAAGATAAACATTATCTACTTGTTCTTCCCTCCCAGACCCCGACTTTTCGTTCTTGTGGCCCTCACCCTACGAACAAGTGGAACTCAGTGAGTGGTCCGAAAGAGAAAAAAATGTGGTGCGCGGGCTAGGCGCCCCTTGTATTGGAAGTTTCCTTGCAAGGTCTTTCCTGCATGCCAAGCGTATTCCAACTTGGGTTTCAAAAGGATTTGGGCTTCTTTGTAGTGGGCAACCCGGTAAGATTGAGGATTTGTTGGAACCCGAACCACAGACGCCCGGGGCCTTACCACTTACCAGCAAGAGGTTTGTGCAAACTGCTGGGCTGAGTATTTCGAGGTAACATCATGCGGCCGGTTCTTCTAAGTGGGGTTGTAGCAGACTAATCAACGCCATCAAAACCCCCTTGCATGACCACTTCTCAAGCGCACGTTGATTCTTTATGTCGCGTCCCCATCCCAAAAAGCGACACCTATTTTTAAGATAAACCTCCCGGTGACCCTTTGCCCCAAACGTGACGTTTCCGATGCCCAGGAACCCTCCCTTAGAGGCAGCCTACGTTGAGAAGAGGTCCTCCCACTCCAACGTTGGAAGCCTACTTTTGTTTTTTGCCGTTCTGGCAGTTCTCCAATACGGGCTTCTACTTTTTCACTCCCAGGTAGACTTAAGATCCCAAGGATTCCGCCCCTTTGGCGAAAACGGGTTGAAGTCTACCTTGGAAGAAGTCTACCTTGGAAGAAGTCTACCTTGGAAGAAGTCTTTGACCTTGTTGGACTACCAGGCTACATCCCAAGCATTCCCCCACATTGGAAGAAGTCAAACAAATGGCCACCCCAGGCCACACCGCAACCCACCCCAGGCCACACCGCAACAGCCACCGCGGGGCCCCCACCCCAGGCCGCCCCACTCCAGGCCGCCCCACCCCAGGCCGCCCCAGGCCGCACCGCAAAACCCTGCGGGGCCTGTCTCAGGAGTCAGCCTCGGCGGGCCCCGTGAGGCACACCGTGCCGCTGGCCGGGGGCCGAATCCGTGCGGCGACGTGCTCGCTGGGGTTTTTGTTTCCGTTTCGGGTTTTGGGAGGCGGCAACTGGTGGTTTGGGGGGCAACCGGTGGAATCAACTGGAGGGTGCCCTTGGTTGGTTGGTTGGTTGGTGGGTGGGTGGGTGGGTGGGTTGGATGAACAGGTGACCTTGGACAACTCATGGATGGGGTAGATGAAAGCCAAACGGACCTCTCTCTCTCTTTTTTTTTTGGGGGGGGGGTTGGGGGTGGGCCACTCTATATTGACACAGACCCACATGGGGATCTGCTTCTTTTTTCTTTCTTTTTTTTTGGGGGGGGGCACCGATTTGGGACCCATGATGTTGGCCTACCTGGGGATCTCATCATGCCAGTTTAGCAAAGGGTTTTTGTCTTGTGGGTTTGAGCGTAGATCATGATTTGGTTTGATTGCTGTAGTGTGGCCTATATTAGGCCTATATAAACCAAGATCATCTTGGTAGAGCCAATTAAACGTCCAAAGTAGCCAAGCACGGGACGGGGAAGCCAAAGAAAATGCGCCCACATGTGCCACGGTCAGTTTTACCACAAAAAAGACCATGGCACAAAGAACAGCTGCGCCTTCCATCTTAAGACGTGTTCTTCCCAGGCACAGCAAAAGCAACGGTAGCCCAGCTCCAAATGGGTTTCAAAACTTTGGGTTCCTCAGCTCGATTCTTTCTAACAGCTTCCCCAAACACGCCAAACAATTGGCTTCCAACCAAAAACCGCGCCCAGCGGCATTCTATCCAAAAAACCCAACCAACAAGGGCTTCCCTCAACTCACCGACACCCACAAGTGGGGCTCGCGAGCCCCACTTCCCTCTTTCCCCTCTTTGAAACCGAAGGGGTCTCCAAACGTAAAACCCGAGAAGGCACGGAGCCATCAACTCGGGTTTCCTCCATGTCGTTGTTTGGAACCTTCAAAAGTGGCGATCGTTTCAATGCAAACCACCGGTAAAATGATCAACTTTCGATTTGGGAAAATCCAGCGACCCTTGTCAACCCAAGTTTCTGATTCGGTTCACCTGTAAATACCAATAAACCTTATGAATTCCTTTCTATGGTATCTCTTTTGGTGCGGTGCCGGGCTGGATCTCGCATCGTCATTCATAGCGTCAACCCTCTGGCCATGTACGTTGAGATTGCTTTTCGGCTCCACGATCTCAACAGGTTTCGAACCATGCTATTTTGATTGTCACCAAGTCGGTTGGGCCACATCGATGCTTCTTGACCAAATCTAAAAGAGATGAAGCAAACCATTCACCGATGCCCATGGCAGTTGATCCCCTGAGATTTTGAAAGGGGAGGCCAACGCACCATTTTTCTAGGGGTTGATTCCCCATTCTTTTCAACCATCGTTCTGTTCAAACCACTAGCTATTTTCCGCGGGGTTTCCGGAGGTTTTCTAGAAAGAAGGATCCCCGGAAAGGGTTGGAAGGTACCTTCTAGAATTCTAACTTCTTTCCAGGGTACCTTTTAGATCGGACCTCCGCAACGGATCCCTAGGTACCCCTCGAATTTTGCGGATTGGAGCAAATCCTCGAGGTCCCTTTGCTGCGGCTGTTGCCCGCCTGCCGCGAGCACCTGGCCGCCGCCGCCCGGGCAGCCGGGTCCTTGGTGCCCCGGGTGTCGGTGGCCCTTGTGGGATTGGTTTAAAGGAGAACAAGAAAAACCAAATGCGTCTGTGATTTGCTGGAGGGAAGCCAGTTTCTTTGGTGGTTTTCAAAGGGAGAAGCGGCAAACCATCATGTTGGGGGGTCCCCTGAGAATAGGTTGGTTTAAAGGGAATCCAAAGATCAAACTCCATTTTGGGGGGTCCCCCAAACAAGATGCACTCATTCCCTGGATGTTTCACCCTTGGTAGTTCAAAGTCCAGCAAGAAAAACCAACCAGGGGACCTGTGGGGAAAACTCCCGGATTCCATGACCAGGTTCAGCGCTCTCTCCCCAATCGACGGAGCCCAAGCTGGGGGCTCGAAGAACCATCGAAAAATACCGTCCGGATCGGTGCGAGAGATGCAATGCCAGAACTGACCCCAAGAACCACCCTCCAACTGGCCGGTTTTGTTTTCCTCTTGTTTTCTTGGAATACCCCAAGACCGGCTCCTTTCGGGAATCCCCAAGCAAGGGATTCATTCCCTCCTTCCCTATACCTATCGCACCCATCCCAAGCGTTGGGGGTTCTCGTCTTCTGCGCGCTGCCGCTCAGGCGGGCGATGAGGAGGACTCAGGCGCGCAGCCTCGCCGGCCTTTTTTTTTGGGGGGTCTTTGACCATGGTAAAATAATGAGGCCAGTTAAAGGAAACCACCAGGAGAGCAAGCCAACCCCCTCACTGGCAAAAACACCTTGGGTTGGATGTGCAGGTACGGGTCCGGAAAGTTGTGTGTGTGTGTGTGTGTGTGGGTGTGCGTGTGCGTGTGCGTGTGCGTGTGCGTGTGCGTGTGCGTGTGCGTGTGCGTGTGCGTGTGCGTGTGCGTGTGCGTGTGCGTGTGCGTGTGCGTGTGCGTGTGCGTGTGCGTGTGCGTGTGCGTGTGCGTGTGCGTGTTTGTATTATTAGAGTGTTTTCGGTTTGCTTCGTCATTGAACTTCCAGCAACCATGTACCCCATGTACCCCCATGTTAAGACACCAAGGAAGCGCCCATTTTTGAGTTGGTACCTTATTTTTCATGGTTATAAATTTACGGCCGTGTTTTGGGTGCCCCCCTATAAGACACCCCCAATTTGCCCCGGAAAGAAGCAACTTCGCTTCCCGTTTGGCAGGTGAGGGCGTGAACGACGCGCGGGGTGCGGAGCGGGAGAGCTCAGGCTTTGCCGGGGTAGGAAGGTTTGAAGGTTGGATTGAGGGCAACCTTTTTCTTTTTTAAGGGCATCCTTTTCTTCGCGTGTCTTTTTTGGAGGGTACCTTATTTTAGGGCGTCGTTTTTTTTGGGCGTGTCTGTCTTTGTGTGGCATCTTCTTTTGGTGTGATGAAAGGGAACCTCATTATTTTACGGATTCTGATTCTTTGGGCCACGTTCCTTCGCACTGGTTTCTTTTGTGGAGCACTTGGAGCCGAGTCTGAAGTGATACTATCGTCTTGATGGCCTTCTTTTGGATCCCGAAAAAATGAGGCATCAAGATCCCAGGAAAGCGTGGCGCTTACCTCTTTCGGCCACTGGTGAGATACGGCCTTAAATCCCAAATAGCAAAGTTGGTGGACACAAATCCCTGCCGCGATGTCCAAATCCAAAGGGCCCCTCATCAAAAGGCAATCCATACCCAAGGTCTTGGTGCGATCTAAGCCTCGCCCAGTTTGCCAGACTCATTGAACATACACATTCCCAAAGAATCCCATACTCAAAGGAGCCCCTGTTTACCAGGCCACACTCCTCCATACGACTCACTCCTCCAGCTCATGGCTGTTGGTTGGACTCCCAGGGCTCTGCTTTTCTCATTTTTCGCCCGTCCGCGTTTCCGTTTCGTTTTTGTTTTCTGCTCCGCCCGGCATCGGATGGATCCGAGTTTTGTGTCTGCTCCGCTTCGGATTTTTTTTCTGCTCCGCGGAGCGGCGATGGAGATCCGCGGGTCGAGATCGGATCGAGCCGATGGTCCCGAGGTTTGAGGGGGAGGAGTCTGCCCTGCGGACCTGCCAGAAGCTCCAGGCGAGGCTCCGGAACCGAAGGACATCCCGCGGAGTTTCTCGGCGGTTGCGGAGTTTTTTTTTGCGTTTCTGCCGGCGGGGCGGGCGGTTTGGGCGTCTTGTGCTTGGAGTAGCTCCTTTGAAGGTGGTTTTTTCGACGGAAACCGAAAAGGGAAGCAGCCGCTTTTTCGGGCCCCCTGGTTTAAAGTTTTCAAGAGACAGACCCAAACCCTGAGCTGCTGAAGGCAAAATTCCTCGTCCTTTGGCTAATAGATTTTGCAGTGGGTTTTGCCATAGGGGCCGGAGATTCGGCTTCAACCCACTGCATTTCGAGCAGAGACGTTCGAAGCTGTGGATTTGCCTTTGCCGTGCCCTGGGACGGGCCATGTTTTCAGCTCTGAGTTTGAGTCGGCACGGTCGTGCGCAAGCCATACAAAGGGATTGAGCAGAGAGTTTTTTTTTAGGGCCCTAAAAAATGGATTTTGCTTTTCCAGTTGTTTTCGCTTTTCAACCACCCCAACTCAAAAAGACACCCACTTTTTAAGCAACCAGGTAGAGTCAACCCAAAGGGTCTCCAACAAACCCCTCACCAACATTCCACTTGCTTGGCTTGGTGTTTGTAGCATCGGGCATAGCCACCCCAAAGAATGGCCGTTTTCCGCTTTGCACCAACTCAAGGAAACACCACGCCGGCCAACTCAAGGTGAGTTTCCCCGGACTGAAAGGGCAGGTTAGAACCTCAGTTGTTCTGTGGCTCCCTTTTTCCTTTTTTTTGGTGGCTGCCCCACTAAAATGGTCTTCCCAAAAAAGGGTTCCCTTCTTTTCCAGGGTCACTGAACAACTGAGGAACCGAAAGCTGCTGAGTCCCGGATTTAGAGCCAAGCCCAGTTTCTGGGGGGTTCATATCACACAGCATCTGATTCTTCTTTTTTGGAGGGAACACCCTGGTTCGATAGGCAGGGAATGAGAAATGGAATGACACGTAGAAACGACGCAATTTTGCACCTGGAATCATAATTCCCCCTGTAAATACCAACAAACGGGCTGGTTTCAACCAGGGTTTCATGTTGGTGGTGCGAACGATTTTCGTGCTCCAAATGGAACCACTGGTTTTCAACAACTGGTGATCCACTACCAACCTTTCATTCCAGGTAGAGCAACCATCCACCTTTCAACCAGTATGTTACTCTAGATGGAGTCCCAAGTACACCGGCCAATGTGGGGCTCGGAGGCCAGCGCTTTCTCTTTTGAAGCTTTGGGACCCCACATGGACACGAGTTTCACTCACTCCCCGAGTCCCAGAACTCGGACTTTAGTCACCTTTTGGGGTTTGGTTGCCACTTTGGTGGCAAACAAACCGTTTCGTCCTTTTTTTGCCCGTTCTTTCTGTGTCCACCAACCACTTTCGAGGTGTTTCCAAGACTCAAAGATCATAGCCATATGGGTGTGCCCCCAAAATTGCCGGTTTCCTCTTGGTCTCCCTCTAAACCCACCCCAAAAAGGTCTCCAGCCGATTCCGAGACAACCCACACCCAGCCTGCGCAGGTCCGCATCAGCGTGGCGTCCGCACAGACCCTGGTGCTGATCCTGGATGATGCGGTGGCCACGGCACAAGGCTCAGAGGAAGCGACCGAAGACGCTTATTGGGCCATTTGAGTGCCTTCCATTTGTCCCAGCTCTGAGTTCTTTTTTTAGGCTTTTAGGATTTTAGGATTTAAGTTTTTAGGTTTTTAGGCTTTTAGGTTTTTAGGTTTTTAGGTTTTTAGGTTTTCAGGTTGGTTTTTAGGCTTTTGGGTTTTTAGGGTTTGGTGGCGGTTTCCAAAGCTAAGCCTTCAGCAGGGCATCTGAGGATGGCCCAGTTTAGTACCTTCCAGTTGCTTAGTATGTTTTTCCTTTTCCCTTGTAGCCCCCACAAAAATATGGGGTCTGCCCAGAGTCCTCGATCAAGGCTCGTACTCCTTTTGGGGCCCTTTAGTCTGGGTGCAGGATTTGGTGGTGAAAACCGTTTTGGGATCTTATTTTAGGGGTCCCGGTGCACCCAGCCTAGGCTTTATTCTAGGTACCATGTTGGTCCCGGTGAACTCACCACCCATTTTAGGTTACCTATTTTAGTGGTTGGATTGAATGGGATGTTCGCTGGCTCACCGATTTGTTTTTTGAGTGGCCAATTCTGAGTTGAGAGGACGCGAGTCGACCCATGAAGGCCCCTTTGCGGATTCCCCGCCCAACGGTTTGCTTTTTGGACACTGGTTTTGGAGTTTTGGACGGGTGAGAGATTGCAGAAATTGGATGGTCATATGTCTGTTGCTTGAACTTTTGGATCATTTGCCCATGACCCGAATTGTTTGTACAATCCAGGGTGGGGTGAGCAAACCACCCAATCCTTTTCATGCATTTCTTGGTGCGGCCAGTCTCATTTGCCTTGAGAAAAGTCTGTGCGCAAGCGTGCGCGAACAGCAACGCAGCCAAGAACACCGCAGGTTCCAGAAGTGGCTTGAGGCTGGCCGCGACTGAAAAATGCGCTCCAAACACAAGGTTTTGACATGCGCTTTTCAAGTTCAGCACAATCTGTGCATTTGGGTGTTCTCATCTGAAGCTCACAGTATCTGTCTGCGACATGTCGCACGAAAAGGAGACATTTCGAGTCGCTGGGCTGGCGAACTCGCGACCAATTGCTCCTGCAATACAGCAACACGGAGGTGGTCGAGATGCTCATGAAGAGGAACATGCAATCCGCGAATTTAGGCACAATCTATGGGTGAATTGGAAGATTCACATCCAGGGAGGCCCCTATTTTGGGAACCCCCAATAAACTCATCGTGCTTCATGACAGAACACTTTCCGTGGATCGTTGATGTCGAGCCGCGGCTGAGTCATGGGGCTGTCCTTTTATGACCACCTTGTCCAGAGATACCTCGGGGCGATGTTTTCTTTAGGGCTGGGCAAAAGTCGCAGAAAACAACCAGACCTTGGCCCCTTGAAAGGGGAAGGTATGGTTTTTGTTCCTCTCAAAGTGTTTGTGGATTCATCCTCCAGGAGACCCTATTGCTACACGTGTGTTGCGCCAATGCCAAAAAATCAGGGATGCCGTGCTCTTCCCGCCAAACACACGCTGGACATAGGTGTTGTTTGATCGGTTCAACATAGATGTGGTTCTGATTCTGATCATGCACCAGCACAATTCATCTATTTCAACTCGGAAGTTGCACCCAGGCCACGCCTCATACGGTCCTTTCCCAGGTTGCTTGGTCAATACCTGTCCTGGGATTCAACGCCAAATTTTGGGACGGCCACCCAGGGACCGGAAGTATGACCCCGGGCAAGAGCCGAAACGGGCTTCCGGCTCGATCTGCCTGATGAAACTTCTTAGCGCAGGAATCCCTCACTCAGTTGGTGGACATGCACTTGCACCGGATTTGTTGTCCATTTTATGGCCCACCAACTTAGATTCCGGAAATTCACACCCAAATGGCCCCGATTGCTTGGATGCCACATGGGAGCCACACTTGAAATGGGAGCCCCCCCCGTTTGCTTGGCATCCGCCGAACCGCCGAGGTGCTGAGCTTCAAGTGGAAAGGCTCGTTGAGCTCCGCGGGTCGCGGAGCTTCGTGCGCACGTGGGTTTGTTGTACTATAAGCAACAGGGCATGGATCAAAATTAAACCACCAAGGGACCGCAGGTTTTGGTCCATGTTTCCACTTGCCAGGGTCCCATTTTGGGTACCTATTTTGATCCACAGTTAACTGGTGCAGGATTTGGTCCACTCACTTCAGTAGGTTGAACCTTCACCAACTGGTACAGTAGGATGATGAACCCACTTCAGTAGGTGCCCGCTTCAGTAGTTAACCCCAGGTTGTTTTTGGTCACTTGGCCCATACGCCAGCTGTAAGGCGAAAGATACAAGCTGGCTGGCCGGGTGATAGCTGGACTGTGCGAGGCATTTTCGCGACCAACTGCTTCTACCTGCAGCGGATCAGCTGGGATGCCCGGGATTCTGATTTGGGTGGTCAGTCTGGGTTCCATCTTTCCGTTGTAAGCCATCTCAAGCATCACTTGCTGGATGCCAAGGCGGCTTGCGAGCTTCGTTTTTTTGGGTGATGTGTCTTGCAGATTTGTATTCGGACCTGTGTTCAAGCGTCATGGTTTTGTTTGTTCGCAAAATCTTACTTGGCTGACAAGATGGCCCCGATCCCCAGGTGTCTGAGAAACAGGGGTGGCGGGTGGGGCTTGGTGCAAGGTGTTTCCAACAATGGGCGACCCCCCTGATTTGTTGGTGTCCTGCTGGTCACCCTTTCAACACCAACCAGAAGGGGCGCCCTCGGAAGGCTTCCTCTCGGCTTAATATCGGGGGAACATACCGATGGACGAAGTCCTGCACGAAATTGGCAGGTTCCCGTTCATAGACCTTGCTCCAGCTCAGTTACGTGTGCCCTTTTTGGAGGGTTCTTTTTCTTGCTGGTGCTCAGCAGGGACTGAGGGAATTACCTCTATAAAGCATCCCCTATTCCTTTATATAAGGGAATCTCCAGGTTCAGAGCACCGACGCCCATTTTGGAAGTAAGCCCCAGCTTTGGCGCGCCTTTTGGGCCCAGGCGACCTGAGGCAGGTGAGTCGGTTCTCGGAAGGGGCGGTCGTGGTGGGATGCCGTGGACGGATGCGGTGCCGACTCTTTGGCTTCACTGTAAAACCACAAAAAAGGGGCACCGTCAAAAAAGATGCGCCACCCATGTCTATGAATTGTAAATTCCGTCGCTGGACACACATGGGAATTATTGATATGAGTACATGTGGCATGTTTAGCTTTTGGTTTGTGTTGTCGTGTTCTGCTTCATCTCTTGATCAGATGCATGCCGTATTTGGTTTTCATACATGAGCGACGCAGAAGAAGAAGAAGCAGCAGAAGAAGCAGCGCAGAAGGCCTACGACTTGTTGAACAAGTTGTCCGGGGCAGGTAGAGGTGAGGATTGTGCTTCTAGCGCTGCAGCTGCGAGATCACGTCCTTTCGATGGTTCTGATCCCTGATTCATAAACCCCCCAGTTGCCAATCAGGGGGTCCCTTTTTAGTGGGGATTCCTTGGTTCCAGGGAGACTGGGACCCCTGATTAACAACTGAGCCACAATCAAAACAGCTCAGGGAGAACGTTTCGGCATGGAGACACTCGCCGGAGTTTCCTCCTTATTTGTTCGTACCAGGCTGACCTTCAAAACGACCGGACCAGCCTTGCCTGGTCTGGGCCAAGGTCTGGGGCGCCCCTCCTTCAATTTCGCTTCGATGACTAGCTTACCTGACAAGATTACAGCATGTCAGGCCCTTTTACGAGAACATCTATTGAAAAAGATTCCGCTCGAGTTTCTGGAAGGGCTTCTTCCAGACCAACTCCGTGATGCCTTGGGCTCATCCTGTGTCAGGAGGATCCGCTTTTGTGTGAATAGGAGGAGGAACCTTCGTGCTGGCCGGTGCAACAGAATGAATGAGGAAAAGAGGCATGAGCATTGTCTTGATCCCACGTGGGCCCCAGAGGAGTTCACAATGACTTGGGTGCGCCTTGGTGGTTTTGGGCGGCAACCCCCCGTGTAAAGTTTTAGTTTCCGATTTGACGGCTCCCTCTCAGCTCGCACTTCGTGTTGCTGGAGGGGCAGAGTTCGAAGCTCAACGGTCTTCTTCGCTGGCTGGGTTTTGAATCTTGATTCCTGGGCAAAGCCCCAGGTGACACGACAGACAGCATCGCTATCTCTAGCCACAATCGAAACCCGGGTAGATGAAGGTTGCTAAGGGAGGACCCCAGCCACAAACGGGCGGAGCCGCTTCTTTAATTCCTTACAAGGTCCTGGGTAGACGGTTTCAATAGCGGGTTTTGATAATGACTCAGCTGGGGGGGTTTATTCATCAGGACTGCCCCCAAGCTTACATGGATTCTCCCAGAACCCCGAAATGGACGACTCGGTTCCATCTACAAAGGCCAGCTGGGGAAGCTAGTCTGGAGTGTACGCAGGGGTCAACGACTGAGGGGTTTTATTCATCAGGGCCAGGCCCATAGACAACACGTGTCCTTTTGATTGGTTAGTTTGGTTCAACATGGGTGGGTTGCACTGGTTTAGATGGTTGCTTTTGCTTCCATGTACCCTCCCACCCTTTTCGCATGGAACCCGACGTTCGAGACCTGGCCCCCTTCAAAGTTCCACCTGGACCCCCCTTTTGCGTTGAACAATTTTCCACGTGAATGGGAGGGCGCCAGTTTAGGACCATAGGTGTCCTTTTTAGGTTAGTTTGGCTAAAAGTAGACGGCGCGGGTGTAGATGGGTTTCATTCCTCTATTTTTCCAAAAGGCCATCCATGTTTCGGGCCACCGCCAGGCCTTTGGTGCGCTTCGTGGAGTTCCGCACCTGCCCGGGGCCCGGGTGGGACGGACGCGTCGAGGGCCCGGACGTGGGGTCTTCCAGCGGCTTTCGCGACTGGGTCTGCGAGTTCGACTCTCTGTTGTTTTTTGAGGTTGGTCAAATATGACAGGTCTGAACACATGAGCTTTGTTGTGTTTCGTGGTTTTTGTTTTGTTTTCAGGGTTGGCCAAGTGTGAGACAGAATCTGCAATCTACCAAGTTTTGACTGTTGCTCACAGAAAATGCCTAGGCTGAGGGTGGTTTGTGTTGGTGGTTTGGCACCTCCAAGCCACCAAGTAGGGGCAAACTGAAGATACAGCCCATCCTTGGCACTTCAAACGCCCAAACCCTGGCCTTTTCCCATCCTACACCTTTGGTCAACACGAACCTCCGCGCAGGCCCTCTAAACCAGCTCTGAAGAAACCCAACTTTCCTGAACCTTCCCTAAACCGATCAAACTAACAGAATTCAAATTCTAAACCCTCTCATAACATGACTCTCGACCTGAACTCACCCTAAAGCAGCCAAGCAACCCGAAGCTGATCTAGAACCGAAAGCAGACTCAACCCAAACCAACTCTACACCCTTTATTCTCAAACCAACCCGTAGGCCAGCCAGAGCCAATCATAAAGCAACCTCCTCGGCCCTAGCCCGCGGGAACCAACACTGAACAAATCCTGACCACTCCCACTCCACAGAAAGGGGGGGGGGATTTATCCAAACCACTGCTACGAGCGAGCCAAACTAATCCTCAACCACGGAAAAGGGACCCCCGACCCATTCCACGGCACGGGAAGGGGGGGGGACCATGGAGCGGGAGAGGGCAAGCCCCTACATACATACGCATACACATACATATTGGAGACACAGATGTGCAAGCATGTTCCCCTTGCTCGGCTTGTTGCTGTGATAGGCAGGGAATGAGAAATGGAATGACTATGAACCTAAACCATCCAACTGGTGGTGTCCTTTCAGGGAATCCCTGGGTTATTCCATTTCTCATTCCCTACTCGCACTCGCAAGTTGTCCCCCCCGCTTCTTGAGGCCGGGACTGGCTCTTCGCGGTCACGCCACAGCCGCAAGTGCGGCTCCTGCCGGGCTCCTCGATCGGGGCCCACTAGGAGAACGGGAAAAGCGTCTAACTCCTTGGTGGGAGAGCTTTGTGTAGAAACCTTGGGTAGTACCATGAACCGATAGTCTGATGCCAAAGATGTGCACAATTCCCCTTGTGGGAAAAAGAAAAGGGGATATCAAACCATCAAGAGGGAATTTGCCATCTACTTTCACGCAAGTGTAACTCACACCCCGCTGGTTGGCAATATGGGCAAAGCAAACGTCATAGGTGCTACCAGTTGGTTTCCTTGTGTATGTCATCGCTCACTCAAAGAGGTCAGGAAGCCCAGTCCCTGAATAGCATGAACGTGTAGGATAAACCAACCTTGGAGTAGCTGGGAAACCCTGCGGTCTCTTGCCTGTTCATTTTCCAAGCTTGGCACTTTTCGCTGCTAAGATTCTTCATTTCGTGTAAAGGCCCAAAGTGTTTCGCCCACATTTCTTGGGTCAGTCCGCTCTGGAGAGTTTCCATAGGCGCGTGAGCAAAACGACGGGCTTTCAGGATCAGAAGACATCTGGCTGGCTCAAAAAACCGGTACAAAAATGGCCACCTTGGTAAATGGAACCAAAGACTAGAACCCGCGTAACCCTAGCTCCTTCATTTTGAGCCACTCCCATCTGCAGCATCTCAGGTTCAAGCAGATCGCCGCACATCGGCTTGCGGGGTGACGATCTTTCGCGGAAAAAGGCCCATGCCATTCCCCCCACGATGTGCCTTTGTGGCATGGGGTTTTGCTTGGAAAGCAACGTGTAGGCCAGGCTTTTGCTTTGAAAGCCATAGGGGGTCCACCTAAGACACCCGGGTTTCTGATCATTCCCCTGTAAATAACCACAAAGCATGGCTTCATTCCTCTGGTTTCAAAGTGGTGCGAAATGGATTTCGCAACTATTTACAGTAGGGGGGCCAACCCGTCTCGGTCTCCCCACCCGCGCGAAGCGATGGGCAAAGGGAACCGCGAAGCCCTGGCCGCGGAGTCGCTGGCCCTGGGCAGCTGCACGGTGGATCTCGCCTTCCTGAAGCCACTTGGAGTCGAATTGTCTGTCAGAGTTGAGGAAGAAGGAGAACACGGAGGAATCCTTCAAGGCAACATGATAAAGACAATGGGATTCAAGTGCCCTTCAACGGAAAGAACGTCATGTCATCCGTGTCACGCGGAACGATCAACAGGCGCATGGGAAAGAGGCAAATTACAGGGTTTCCTCCATTTCCCGTTTTTCGCCCTCCAATCTTGGCGATCGTTTCAATGGAGACCACCAGTAAAGTTGATCCACGTTTGGGGACATCCAGTGACCCCGGAATTGAGATGCTCCATTTCCGGTTGGGCTGAAAGGCTCAATTTCCGTTGCCAAGCTCTTGTTTTGTACCAAGAGGGGCTGTTTCAACAGACCACCAGAGGTCAACTTATAAAAAGATGGGGGCAGGTTTTTTTTTTTGCTTGGCATGTCGAAGACCTTGCAAGCGTCAACCCGTCAACTTGTCAACTTGCCTTTTGGTGGCTTGAGTTGCTTGAATTCCTGTTCCACGGGCAAGGAAGGAGTTGGAATGCCCCGACGGAAACTCCTTCCAACTGATGGTTGTTTCCAAGAAGATCTCAATCGGTGGATTCGGCAAAGCCACTCTTGATTCCGTACCGAGACCCAAGACTGGTGGTCTGGGAAGCCCTTCCCAGATCCCGAATCCAAGCCGCGGGGCCGAAACCAAGCCTGCCAAGCGAAAAAGAACACACACTTCTTTGGTACGCATGGCTCCTTAAAGTGGTTCCAGCCAACCTGTCAGGCCCCGGAAAGTGCGCACCTATATGTCTTTGAAAGGAATGGGAGGACAACTCCAGGTTTACAGAGTACTTCCAGGGCTGCTCCGCGGTGGGGAATGTTGGGAGAGTTCAACCTGGATGGTTGATCGCGTGCTTTTTACTCAAACGTCATAGCAAGGGATTTTACTCTGTAATCAAACTCCACCAGGGAGTGTGACTCAACGGTTTTTCCAGGTTAGTGCTGGTGGCTGGCTGGCTGGCTGGTCGCTCGTTTGGTTGGTCGGTGGGTTGGGGATATGGGGTGTGATCTAATTATAGGCAAGATGGGTGTTGGGGTTTTTCGGGGTCCCTCGATTTCCCTTTTGGACCTTCAAAAGTGGCAATCGTTTCACTGGAAACCACCAGTAACATTGATCAACTTTGAAGGGGGACATCCAGTGACCCCTGTTTTCCTCGGGTTTTCATCAAAAAGAGTGCCCTCCAAAAACGACACATGGGGCACCAAGCTACTAGGACGGACGCCGACTCAAAGTTTGAAACCGGGCCAGGTTTTTCATTCGAACGGATACTACTCCCCTGAAAATTGGCATATAGCCCAAAACAACTCGCCCTGCAAGCGGAAACTCCTCAAAAACACGAAGTGCTTTAGATTCTGTGTCAAGCTGGAGGGGAGTATGCGTTTTTCTGCTTCGCATTTCCCAGGCGAGCATCGCGGAGCTTTAACCGCCAGGCACGCGCATGGCAAGAAGGGAAGAAGGGGTTTGTAGGCAGGTGCAAGGGAGGAGCGTTATCCAATTCCGTACTTTCCCCGTTTTCTTTTCTTTTGCTTGTTCCTTCCTTTCTGTGTTGTTTTTTCTAACTCTCTCTCTCTCTCTTTCCTCTTCTTTCCTTTTGATTCTCGCTCCTCCTTCCCTTCTGGATGCTTTGACTACTGGCGGGCGTCCTTTTTTGGTCTTTTCTTCGTCAAGGTTCCAAAGTTAAAGCTCTTATTCCCAGGTCCTTTGGGCGGGTCAGTCATAGGTGTTCAAAGCGGCGACAGCGCAACGCTAGGCTTGGGCATGTGGTTTTGCTCTGAAAGCCTATTTTGGGGCTGTAAGGGGACAACAAAGGCTACCTTCCCTGCTTGACACGCACACCCTTTCTGGGCAGCCCTCGTTCCAGCAAGGCGCGACCTCACGCAGTGGTTGATAGTTTCTGGCTAATCAGTTTCCTGAAGGAGTTACCCTACCGCTCGAGGGAGTTGCTAGCCGTCGTTGTCAAGCACTTGCTGGGGTTCTTTCTGCGAGGAAGCAGAGGTGGCTCCACTGCCTACCCTCTGAAAAAGTTCCCTTCTTTATCCCCCAACAATTGGACATGGATCGTTGGACGCTGGCCAAGACATGGTTGGCTGCTTGGTGTGCCAGTTGAATTGGCTCCTTCCGTTCCGAATGATGTTGGTCTGGGCCTTGAAAAGTCGGGGCCAATACCAAAGAGACCAATGCCTTGGTCAAAAGCGGCGAGAGAAAGTCAACCAATACCTCCAATCGAAGCTGCCTTACATTCCCTTGGCCTGCCCCTTTGAACGCTGCCGGCCACCGGGGGTTTGGGGTTTGGGGTTGTTGAATTGACCATGGAAGGTTTGGGTATGGCTTGACCCAGGGTTTAGAATTTTGACCGTTTCTGGGGATCAAAGCGAGACTATGGGATTCTTTCCCTTTAACCTATCACTAACATGCTGCTAAAGAAGTGGCGCCGGCTGAATAGCTACACATGGGGGATCTGGTTTCCCCTGGTTGCAAACTTGAAATGGGACATCATCCCCAACCTCCGAACCAATCTAAACCACCAGTGAACGGGAAGCAACGGCCTCCCTCTGTTTTTTTCCTTCTTCTATGCCTCTTCAAGTCCTCGTTCGCCTGTGGTATCCTGGTGCTTCCTTCTTTGCCATCCGTTTCCTGGGGCTCTTAGAACCCGCTCTTCCGTCTTGGGCGGCGCCAGTTGCCCGAGTCGAACGAACTTCTGGAACTTCTGGGGATCGAGGCTTTTTTGGTTTTTATTTGGTTTGGCGGCTTTATTTTTCCCCACAACTTCTAGAACTTCTAGAACTTCTCGCGGCAAATCTGAGGAGTTCCCCAGAGGTCCCCTATGGGACTCGGGTCTGAGGCAGTCCCCTGTGACCCCGAGATCCTGGTGAAGGCCCGGAGGGAAGGATCAGAGGGCTGCAGCGTTTGGGGGTGGCTTCCCTTTTGTGTTGTCTGTTCTGGTGGGGGGTTGCTTGTTTGTTTGTTGTTTGCTGATTATTTGTTCTTTTTGTTTGTTTGGTTTTTGTTTTTGTCTTTGTTTGTTTGCTTGTACGGCTATGAACCCCCTGAACCGTGGCCGGTGGACACAAGTCCCCACCTAAATGATGTCCATCAAAGCGCTTCCAGTTGAATTTCACACCCACCCACATACGCATAAACATATTAAAAACAAAACAGGAACTCAGGGGCAACGAGTTTGCGCAAAGAAGTTATCCCGATGCCGATTCTGCATGGTTTCTGAAGGGAAACCAAGGGGAAGCTTCAGGGAACCCGAACGGGCAACTACCCACAAAAGCTCAGGCTGTTACAAGTTGCCAGCGATATACATGATGCAAACAATCGACACAGGATGTATACGAATGTGTGTATGTCCATTTGTGTATTTACATACAAACCTCTAAAGTTAACCTGTCTGAACGGTTTTGTTCAATGTTTAATGACAAATCCACTCTCAGGATGCTAAATCATGCTCAACGTGCACAACATGAACACACGCACACACTCACACAGAGTATTTCGGTGCATTTCAATACATAGACCAGTTGACATTAAGATAGCACAGTTTGTTAGACCGCCACACTACACGTCACTTTTTAGAGCTGATTTCGAACACATCGTGGACACAGACAAAAGCGCAGCTTTTGGGCCACCCCTGGCTTTGCAAGTTTGCCCTTGTATTATGGCTTTTCCCATGCTTTTTGGTCCTCTAGTTTGTTTGGTGTTTCACCAAAACAGCTCTTTTGCACGTGTTGATTCCGGCATCCGAATAGGGATCACTCGAGCTGGGGGGTTTTGCCGCTGACGACTTGCTCCCCCTGCAGAAGAATACGGGACCCAAGACCCATTTGTAGAGGACCGTCTTTTGGGGATCGGATCTTAAAGCCAGAGGATCAGAGGACCTTTGGGGATCGGGCCTTTTTTTGTGGGTTCCATGTTAAGCTGAGCTCAGCGTGATCGACCAGCCCTCCCTTCTGCTCGAGCCGCCCCAACGCAGCGGCCGAAAACACCTTCATGGCTGAAGCATGCCAGCTGTATTGAAAGTGAAACTAGGCTTCGAGCAAGGAGTTGAGAAACTCGAAACCGAACTTGGCAACTTGTGCAGTTCAATTGGGTCCGTCTCTTTTTGTTGGGGGGGGGTACCCTTTTTGGGTTGGGTTGAAGGGAAGCCAAAGGGACACCGAAGCCAAAGCCAATTTTTGCCAGGAGCTCCTTACGCCCGTGTTTTTGGCTTGATGGGTCCAGTCATTCGAATGGGAAGGAACTGATTCAGACGACCGTTGACGGTTCTGTTGAAGGCGCCATCTTTTTTTTGGGATCATGCTAGGTTCAGACAGGCTTGCCAAGACATATTTGCCTCCAGTTTGATTAGACGTAGAGCTCCTTGTGAACAAGTGTTGCTTTAGACTCTTCAGACAATTGCTTTCCCGAATCACCTCCATGAACACGGAAGACCGCAAGTGCAGTGATGCATGTTTTTGGGGATGTGTTGTTTCTCACCTTCGTCTAGACTGATCATATTTTTCTCCGGCAGCTGAAAGCTTTGGGGTCTTTGTCCAGCAGGAGGCGGCACCAGTTTTCGCCGTCAGATTTCCCAAGGGGGCCGAAACCTATTTGTGACACACCCTCCTACATACCTTCTTTCCAAGCATCAAAGTGAAAGTGGAAGGCCATTAGAAGACTATCGGGAGGCTAACAAAAAAAGCCCTCCGGTGCACTTCCATGAGTGGAAACAATGGGTAAATCCTATTTTTTTTCGGCTGCTCGTGCGGGATTTTTTTCCCCCGATTTCCAGGTGGTGGCGGGGGAAGTCCCGGGCCTTTTGTACGAGTGGGACATTCAGGCGGATTCGCGGGATTCATGGGATTAAACCTCCATCCCTGGGTCCCTGACCCCGCGTGTGTGGTTTCTTAGAAGGAGCCTTGTTAGGGTAGTATTTTGGGGGATTCGGCGGGGTGGTGGGGGGAGGTTAGGACAACCAGTATTGCAATCCTCCAGGGTTTTATTCTCGTTTCCGATTTACGTGTTGTTCCTTTTTCTTTCATCTCTTCCAAAAACTGATCGGAGCAGCGACTTCATTCTTAAACAACAAATTGTATCGTACAGATCACTTTAGTATTTTTTAAAGATGGAGGAGGGGCTGATAGATCTTGTGCGTTTCGTGTTTCAAGCGTACCTGTAGCCACCCGCAATAGACCCGCTTTTGTGCGCAGCTCTCCTTTCAAAGGGAGACCGCACGTTCCCGTGTTTGTTTTCTCTTCTTCTTTTTTATTGGGGGGGGGGGAGCAGGTGTTTGGAGAATGGTTTGGTTGTCTGCTTTGAGAGCAGATCTTGTTTGCTAGTTTGCCTACAGAGACAACGATGGACCCGTGGTTGTTTTCGGGTTTTCAGAAGGAGACGCAAACAGGCTCCCGGACCCACTATGTTTTGCGCAAGATAGCCACCAGAGGATGCGTCTAAGTGGGAAGTGAAAGGCTTCCTTGGATGTCAAGTAAATCGCGAAAGCTCTGTGGGGGGTCCGCATTGATGTTTCATAAGATTGGGCCTTATAAATGCCCCATGAAACGGCTTTTATAAGACCCGCTGACGTGCAAAACATGTGGCCAGCTCAAACGAGATAGACCCATCTTCGACTTGCGTGCCCGCGTTAGAAGGAGATGGGCCTGATGGATACAGCCTTGAAATGGTGGCAGAACAAGAACAAGACACTCATATGAGACTCATATGGGTGAAAGAGCACGCTCTCATACATGGCCTGGATCGTGCGCTCGTCTTCCGATAAAAAGATTGCTATGGCGCATGACTGCGCGGCGTGTGCTCGTCGCTCAAATTGACCCCTGAAAACAGGCGCGCCAAGGTGAAAACGAAGAATGGCCCCCGGTCAAGGGCAGCTTCCTATCCAACAAGCCTGCAACAACCCAAGCTCGTGGGGATCCCAGTTTGGCAGCACAGAAAGGGGTCCGTAGGTTCGTTGACGAGGTTCGCTGTTGACACCAGGGGCAAGTCCTGTTTCCAGTTGCCAACATTTTGCGGGTTGTTTTAAAGGCATTCCAAACGCAAACCAAGGCATTTCCATTTTGGCGTCCCACTTTGTGATTATTTATTGTCTCTTAGTTGTGGAAACCCCGAATCGGAAATGCGTCGATCAAGAAAAGTGGGTCCTGTGAAAGAGTACGGCCCCCATTTTGTTTCAAACTGGAGCAGCCACTTTGGTTTGTTTCAAAATAGAGTAGCCACCAAAATAGAAGTTGGTTTCCTGTTGGTTCCCCTTTAAACTACGCCCAGCAAAGTGCCCCCTCAAGAAAAGCAACACCCGCATTTGGAGTCACATGTTTCATGGTCAACCGACCGGAGCCGGTCTTTTGACTTGCTTGGTAGGGCTTTAGACAACCACTTTCTTGGCCAATCCAGGGTAAGTGTAAGTTACACGTTTGGAGGTCCTCACTTGCGGCGGGGGGGAAGGGTGGGGAGGATATTTCAGAACCGTCCACCGTGGTAGAAACCTCCTAGACGCGGGCCATGACGAAAGGGCTCCCTCGGCCTACCAAAACCGACTAGGTCCTGGGTAGACGATTTTCCAAAAAGACCAGGTCTCTGGTTCCATGGAACATATCTAACATTTCAAGCGCCCCGCCGCGTTTTGCGGGGGTGGGGGGGGGGGGAATAGTAAATTGGGTGTGTTTGTTTCAGGGAACCCCCAAGTTGCTGGAATTTCTCTTGGAGTCCCTCTTGAAACCTTCACTTTTGACCCACCAAACAGTTTTTTTTGGGAGACCCCCCCCCCAAGAAATGCGTGTTGTTTCCTTTTGGTTTCCCTTTGAAAGGAACCCCAAAAAGGGGCACCGACTCAACAAAATGACGCACCCACATCTCCCTGCTTTTCTCCGCCAGGATGGCTGGGATCCGATCCACTTCACCAAGGCTCGGCGAGAGAAAACGTCCCTCGCTTTTCCGGAGGAGAAGACACACACAAAACAAAAGCAAAACAAAACAAAACGTAAACGGTTGGGCCAACAGCAGGTTCGCCCAGGATTTCAGGATTTGCAGAGAAACACTGAAAACTAAAACCTGGGTGGGTTCTTCATGGGATGAGGCGATCGGCTACTTAAATTAGACCTGGTGAGAGCTCACCTAGTTTGGACATATGTGTAGAAACGTACACATTTGTATGCACGTACAGCACAGGCGAATCGGCTCAAAAGCTACGACCAGGATTACTGACCACTTGCTAGCCGACTTCTCTGGGTTACCATGTCAGGGCTGGTCCGCTGTGGCGCTGGTAGGTGCAGTCCAAAGGTGTGGGTCTCAAAGCAAGTCCCAAAATGAGCCACTTGCTCAAAACCCGGGTAGATGAAGGTTAGTAAGGGCCAGTCCCAGCCAAAAGTAGCTGCGGCCGACCTTCTTGATTCTCTACATGGTTCTGGGTTCACCATTTTAATACCGGGTTTTGATTGTGGCTCGAATGGCAACGGTGTCCTTCCGGTTTGCCTTTGAAACCTTCATCCAAAAAAGGTAGCTCCACAACAACGACGCGGTTCCCAAAAACGTTGGTTTGCCCTTACCCCAAAAAGATGGGGCACGTATTGGCACAGAGGGAGCGCTGCTTGGGACGGATCATTTTAGTGTTGTTCTTTCCAACCATCGTCCATCGATCTATTCAAAACCCAGCTTTCCCATCGGTGGTGTGGTATGCCGGAAAGATTCGGCTTGGACAGAATGGTTGGAAGAATTCATTGCTTGTTCTTAGGGAATGGGGGCTTCACCGCACCAACCATGCCCCTGAGGGTAGTGGTTGCGACCCACTTACAAACTGGGTTGTTCATCCAAGTAGGCTCCTACAGACTTAAACTCTGAAGAACGGGCTATATAGCCCTCCCCTTGTTCCCTTGTGGCTGGGTCCTAAGTAGGGCTGCCATCCACTTGCCAACTGGGTGGTACTTGGTAACCCAAGCAAGCCACTTCATGAACTTACTAGCCGGGATGCTCCCCCAAGTGGGAACTTACCAGATCTGGGTGTGGCTGTGTTTGAGCCTCGGCACCCTTTTTGGGGCTGGGAAAACCTACAGGAATCCCACCATGGATACCCTCTAAGTTTGAGACACCACTTGAACCTACCAAGAAAGGCACTTTCATCCCACCGGCCCACGGTTCTTTTTGGCACTTTCATGGCCGCAAAGCAAAACCTTGTAACTTGATATGCCCAACTCTAGGTGGGATCTCTCAAGGTTAAACCACCGCACGGTCTCCATTTGCCTCGGTCAACCCATTTTGGGGGTTACCCTATTTCGACCCCATTCCAAGTGAGCCACTTGCTCAATACTCGGGTAAGTGAAGGTTGGTACTCGGGAACATCCCTTCGCCAGAAATGGGGCGCCTTCCGGGGATCGATTTGAGTACCCAATCGACTCATGTGGCTGACTCTTCGCTTGGTTCCGATGTTTTATTCTCTTTCTTGCGGTGTTCCCCCCGTGTCCCGAGTTCGGGTTCCCAGGTCTGGTTTTAGGGAACCCCCCAAAGTTATGTTTTCCTTTTTCCATGGGCTCGTCCGCATCGGTAGCATCTCGCCGATTTCTCTGGGGATTTGGTCAGGTGAGGGTGCAGGTGCTCGCCTTCCAAGACTTGGAGATCACAGAGCTCTCGAAAAACAGGACTCGTGGACGTTTGCAACGTGGACGGAGCCGGTTTTCCAAAAAGACGCTCTGGTGGGCGAGCCGTTTTTTTTTCTTCTTCTTCTTCTTTTCTCTTTTTCTGTTTTTCCTTCTTCTTTTTCCCGGCACCCTCAACTTTTTTTCTCGGCACCCTCAACACAACCGGTACGTTTGGACGTCGACATGTCCGTGAAGTTGACGGCGAGGGTTTGGTTTTCAACCAGTGCGGGGGGTTTTGCGAGCGAGCCATTTGTTTTTCCCTTCTTTTTGAGGGAGGGGGGGAGGGCCTGGAAAATGCACCAGACACCCAGTGGCTTGCGAGCCCGGGTTTTTTTCCCTTCCGTTTTTTCTTGGGGGTACCCTCACCACAAAAGGTCAAAAGGTATTCTTTTTGTTCGTCTCCCCAAGGTACGTTCATGTGTCCGAACTGGATAAATCTCAGGATCAGGCTGGGCGCATGGATAATCTTGTTTAGACTGTTTCAAAGGGCCCCCAAAGGAGAGCCCTCAAAACATGGCGATTTGTCGGCTCCCATGACCCCGGAGGGGCAGAATTCACGACCTTCTCACCTCCCGTTGGGCGATTCAGCCTGTTCTTGAACCATAGTTTCAATCAATCGATTAATATGGAAGCCCAAAACACGCGTGTGCTGACTCGGATCTCCGCTAGGGGGGCGGGGGGGTGATGGACACCTGGGTTCTATTTTGCAACCACAACCCACCAATACCAACTGGTGCCTGGTGCAGATGCCCTGAATTCCCAACAGCTTCCCAAAGCTTCCCGCTTTTACTGCACACGCCACCGATCCATTGCAACCTAGGGTTGAGGAAATCCCGCGAGGTGCGTGGGAAGTTTCTCGGTGAGGACCGCGGTGGCTCTGGTGCCGGCGGTGCTGCAGCTGGAGACGGGGTCCCAGGCCTGGGATGCCGCCGCCCGGGAGCTCGGCGGACGCCGAAGCAACGAGACGTGGCGGGCTGTGCGCAGGAGTGGTGGTCAAACACCGTTTTGGGATCCCATTCTGGTTGGTAGGTGAATTCGCCTCCCAGTTTAGAACCTATTTTCGTGGGGATTGGTATGCTCACGGTACGGGATTTTGACCCATGGCCATGTCAAGAAACAGCAGGTTGAGCGTTGCAGGTTGTTGAGAAGCAGAACATTTTAGGGTTTCTGGGTTTCAGGTTCCAAGACTATTCTGAAGAAGCCCGACATGTTGGTTCGTTTCAGGATGATAATGAGTGACCCTGAAACGGGCTTCCGGTTGGTTTGCCCGCGAAAGCGAAACAGACCCAAAGCCGCCAAGGGTTTCTCCGAGCCTTTAAAGGAGCCCAGAAGGGTAGACGATAGTCTTTTTTTTCCTTCTTAGGGGATGGTTATTCTTTGTTATTTCCACAAGGTGGAGAACTGGGAAAGGACTGGGAAAAGGGAAATTACCAGGTCAAAGCTGCACATGCTCCGGCCATTTCGACGCTTACGATTGGGTCGAAGCATTTGTCACCTTGTGCCCAGCTGTTGTGTGCCGTTTCCCTCTGGGTGGCTCACCGTCTTTTCGGGCACCCGTCAAAAACGCTTGAAAACACATAGGGAAACCAAAGGCACCCCCACCATTTACGGGACCGCAGGTTTTGGTCAACTTGGTTCTTTTGACCAGGGCAACCCATTTGTTTTCCTTTTGGGTTTTCGGGCTTGAGATTCCGCGACCTCCGGCCCTCCTCAAAGACCAGCAGATCCCCCTTCGCGGACAAGAGGCTCTCTTTCAAAGGCCAAGAAAACGGGCAGCCCACTTAACTCACCAATAAGCCACAGGCTTCTTCGTCAACTTGGTTACTTTTCCCAGACCACCCCCCATTTTGGGGGTACCCAACCACCGCCACAGCCTCCGAGCTTCGACCCTCTTCCAACGTCTCCGAGGCGAGCCGTCGGGACAAAACCGAGTGGCAGGGCCTCGCCGCGCCCGGCGCCGATGGAACCTTCGGAGCCAACGCCGCCGCGCTGCCGCGGAACTTCCGGGCGCGGCGGTTGGTTCGCGGTTTTTGTTTCGCGGTTTGCGGGACTTCTGGAGCCGTTGGGATCCGGTTCTTTCACTGACCCTCGCTCGCGGTTGCTTTTGGGGTGCTGCAAAAAATGAAAGGTAACATGTCCGGTCGAAAAAATAAGAGGAAACAGAAGGCTGGTGGAGTCATGGGGTGATTTGTTTGGTCCTTAGTGGCCCCCGATGCTCGGAGAGGAAGGTTGAGAGGTCGGACCTTCAGCAGGGCATTTGGTTTTGAACTTGTTCTTCCATCTTGTTGAGAATGTACCTTATCTTTATGTACCCCTGTTGGTTTTAAATGGAATCGTTCACTACTGGACAAATTGTTTTCACTTTGCCTCCAAGGAACTTAGGCAAATCACGAGAGCCACCAGCTCGAGTTCTTTCGGGGGAGCGAAGCTCCATTTGGTTCGGGGGAAGGCTTGACAGTTTTTTTTGTTTGTATAAATATATATATTTTGAGATGCACCTTCAATGCAGATGATGCTGGTGATGCAGGGTCCGCATCCCCCGCATCCTCCGCATCCCCAGCATCGTCCGCATTGAAACGTCATCCATCCACGTCATCCATCCTCAGCCTCCCGCATCACCTCTGTATCCATGACACTGCAAATCTTTACGTTCACCAAACTCGTGGGAGCTCCTCCCTCCCAGATGGTATGCCTGTTTCTCTCGGGAGCTGCCCACTATGGCATGATGGATACCTCGGGCTTTGATCAAGAGGCTCGAGCTTGGTGCTCTCAGGTGGATGTTTTTGGGGAGGTTTCCAAGCAAAATCGACCACCAAAGGCGCACTTCTTTTCATGATAGAAGTGAACAAGGGGCTGGTCTCCTCTTGTCAGCTTCCAGTGAGGGTCATCAATTGTTGAGGAGTCGAAACCTATTTCCTATAGTGACTCACCCCTGGTCGGAAGCACGGCGGTGTGATCGGACGTCTGCCAGGAGGTGTCGGACTTGTTGGCGCCCCACCGCCTGGTCTTGAAGCACTCGGCAGCCAAGGCGGCCGAACCAACTCTATGGCGACGGGGCGCCCCCACGCGGAAGTTGCGGCGCAGTGCGCGATTGGAAGCAGGGGTTGGGCGAGGATTTTTAAGCACGTAACAACCGTTGTTGAAACCAACCGTCTCCTTTGTTTTTGACATCAACCACTCTTGTTTAAACCAATCCATTTTTGGGTGGTCTTGTGGTTTAAACCGAATTCGCTCAACCCTGCGCAAAGACCGCGCAACTGTGCCCTCCCGCGGAGGGCGATGGAACGGCCACCTGGGCCGTTGCGATCGGAATCCGTTTGACGGATTCCGAGCGCAGGCCCAGCGGCGAGTAGAGACATGCCGGCCGGTGTCGGTCCTTCTTGGACCGCAGGCTGAGTCGGGGGTTGGTTGGGGGAGGATGGGGCGATGGGTCGAGGTAATTTCAAGATTGTTTGAAGGTTGCTGGTTATGAAAGACTAGGTTTGTTCGAATTCTTCCAAGGCCAGAGTAGGGCGGGAAGCTTGAGAGGGGGCCAAAAGGGCCAAGAGTCTAAAACAACTTGGAATCGACTGCTAGCTTTCCAGGGAATGGTGTTGGAGAGTCTGACTTGAGACTGGGCAACAAACCGATCCAAAGGGTGTTTGTGACCACGCCCATGATGAAGTTCTTTTGGAAGTTCCGTATTTTCGAGTGGTGAAACATAACTCACCCGGACTGACAGGGTGTCCTTTTTCCGCGCCGTCCTTTCGCAATCCAGGCATTCCCATTCCATCCAGGCACGGGGCCGTTGCGTTGCCACGCAGGCCCGTACGGGGACTGTGGCAAAAATCCTGGGCCAAGGTGAAAGCGGTGCTGGAGGTCCAGAAAAAGTCCAAGCACCCGCGCGCGGAGACCAGTGAGCCAAAGGGGCAGAAGAGGCAGAAGACGTAGGCCGAAAAGGCGGATGTTTTAAATGTTTGGTAGCTGGTGCGCCGAAAGAAGGCGAGGCTGACAATGACGGAATCCTATTTAGAGTTACACGAGGTGTCCACCCGCGAGCTGGGGATGAATCTTTGTGAGCTGCACCGGCGATCAAAGGAGGCGCGAGGAAGCCATGCAGGACGCTTCCGGCTTGCGCGCGCAGAGCGGAAGAAACGGCGCGCGTCGTTCGAGTCGAGCCGCGAGCAGCTTGTGCTTCGTGCCCTGGGAGCCGATTCCCATCTTGTACTTGAGGATTCCCGTTTGACGAGAAGAAAACCAGGCTAGAAAACGAGACGCAGGCGTCTGAGACACCGGGCCATTGCTTCCAGTTCGCTTGCCCGCATAAACTGTAGGTGCTGGCAGTCAGGCTGGTGTCCTTCCTGGGTTTTTTCTTTTTCCATCTTAGGCTGCTTGCCCTGATGGCCTAAGTCGAGCACTGTACCTGCCATAGGCTTATGGGCCCTAGGTGTGTTTGCTTAAAACGTAGAGGGCCCTGGTTTAGATGGGGTTTATTCCATTTACCAGGGAAACCCGTCTATTTTTCCAAAAGGCCACCTATGGTACCTATGACCTGCAGGGTGATGTCCCTCTTGTCCGGCGGCTGAAGCTCGTGGTTTGCTGCTGGCAAAAGGTGGGGCAGTGTCCAAATTTGCAACTTACCAGGGCGTCTACCAGGGTTCTCCTTTGTCTTTCCTCTGTGGGGTTTGCAATTTCCAAGCCGGTCATTAAAGGGCGCATGTCATTCTGCCGCTTCTTGGGGGACCTCCAAATGGTGAACCGGAAATGGGCTTCGCATGGGTTTTGCTTTTGAGTTCCTGGTGCAATAATATATATATATATATAAGTGGCATTGGTTTAGTTTTCGTCTAAACCGACCAAACAGAGTTGTCCCTCCATGAACGGCTCCCCTAAAGCCAGCAAGCCAAGAAACAAGTCAATGGCTTTCCTTTTGGTTTCCTTTCAACCAGGCCCAAAAAGGTGTTCCCCCTCAAACCATAATGTTATTCATTCTCCTCGAATGAAGTTCCCCTCCAAGAAAATGGAAACCCGGTTTCCACTCAAAACACATCCTTCCTCCCACTAGGGGGCCCATTCCCTGTCAGGTGCCATGGCCACGATTTGTTTTTAAAACAACTCTTGGAGGCACCAATTCCCTGTCAGCTGCGGTCTTTGTTTTCCTTTAAGCAAAAAAACAGCACGGGTTATATAGCTCCCGCCTTTTTCCGAACCAAAAACACCTCTGCCGGGGTCGAGCCCTCGCGCAGCCGCGCGGGAGCTTGCGCTGCCGCGCGCCCGAGCGAGGATGTGGCACAGCTCCGGCGTGGCCTTCCACGAGCTGCCGCTGGGGGAGTACCTCGAAGAGGTCGGTCAGCGCGTCTTTCCGTTCCGTCTCTTTCCCGCGTCTCCCGGTGTCGGTGGGTTTCGGTGGGTTTCGGTGGGTTTCGGTGGGTTTCGGTCGGGTTGACCCCGAGAAGTCGGGTGGTTTCGGTCGTGTCTTTTGGTTGGAAAAGGTGGGTCCAAACCGGTTTGGGATACCAGTTTGGGGGATAGGTGAATTCACCACCTATTTTAGAACCTATTTTAGTGGTTGGATTGGTACGGGATTTTGACCCATGACCAGTTGGTTTAGTGGTTGGGTGTCCATTTCACCCTTGAGTGAAGTTAGTAAGTGGTTTCGCCCGCTGACGTACAAGGGGGGTCCTGGTTTGGACCATGTTCCTTTCAAAGGGAGGTCCCGAACGTCAGGTTCCATGTTAATTGGTAGCCCTTGATTGGTGGCTTGGAGCTCGGTGGTTTGGGATTGAACCCCGGTGGCTCTTGCGGAGTAAATGGGAGCCCACGCGCCAACCACGAAACCACCCATGCTGTGGATGGTTGCGAAATCCATCCAACGCACCACCGAAGAAACCCGGGAATGATTCGATTCCCTCGTAAATACCAACAAACAATGGTTTCAACCATGGCTTCAAAGTGGTGCAGGAGTTTGTCCATCCACAGTAGGGATGCTGACTTTCTCGCCACCCCGGTTTTGAGTTTTCTCGTCACTCCCGATCGAGTTCCTGGGACTGTAGTAAACCACTTGTATTCTGGTTGGTGCAAGCCATTTTGCCATACTTTACTTCCAGAAGTAGCTCCCCCTTTTTTTTCTTCACTTTTTGGGGGTTCCCATTTCATTTGTTTTCCACGAACCATGCAACGCAAGTTCCGTGCTCTGCGGGGGTCCTAGTTACGGACCTGGGGCTGGGGGTATCCAAATGGGCTTGTCTGATTTTTGGATTGGGCCCGAAGTTCCGCTTGGTTTCCCTTTCAACCCCCCCAAAAAGGGGTTCCCTTGTGTACTGCAAGGGATGACCTTGGATACACTACCAAACTATCAATAGCTACTTACTACAATAGGCAACCAGCCCTTTTCCTTTGGTTTCTAAAGCGAGGTTCCCTTAGTTGCCCACTATGCCTGTAAATGGATCTACTGGGATTGGCATCATTGAAAACTGTGGGGCTACTCACCGCTTGCTCTGGTTGTATTTGGCAGGAAGCAGTCCACCCACAAGCCCCTTAGACAATTGTTGTTTGCCAAACAATCCCAAGAAAGCCTGAATCATGATTTAGTAGACTAGCCGCATCATGTCTCTCCTGTTTCCACTGCCATGGCACCTTAGCGCAAAACGGGCCGTGAATAGAGGGGGCTCGGATAGGAGCGTTCTCCAAAGGAGCAAACCAAAGCTGAGTCTGCAGGACGTGAACTTTGTGTCCCTCTCGGTGGCGCGCGACCTGCGGCGACCTCGGACGGGATCCTGCAAATTTCAATCACAAACCCATGCTGGGCCCCCAGTTTTCTGCCTGCAGAACAAGGCAACCGATGTCAAAGCCAGGGGTAGTTTTTTGGGTAGTGGATGCGATCGGTTTAAAAGCATGCCGTTGCTTTTGGGTTGCGAGCCACTTCGGCTTAATACAAAAGGAGGACCATGCTAGTCCAAGGAAGCGTGCAATGAATCAACTGCGCAACTCGAGGATTCGACCCCCCACACACACAAATCAATTCCCCACCAGAAGGGGGGAGGGGAAGTTGCGGGTCCGCGCCTATTTTCCCTTTTTGTTTCGGGCCCAGACATTTTTCCGGGGGAACGCGGAACGCTGCAGGCTGGGCGTGGCGCTCTGCGACAACCGCATGGGCCCCCAGCCTTGGGGCCTTGAAACCTTGGGGGCTTGGGATGGGGATGGTGACGAAATCCTCTCGGATTCGATTCCCCAACGTGAAGGCCAACAGTATGGTTTCAACCATGGTTTCTCATTTTTGGGTGCGAACGCTCAAACATATCCGTGAATTTCCCCTGTTGGTTTTGAGGTCCAGCAGTACTGGAAATATGGTTTTACACAGCTGAAAGCTGTGGGATCTCTGCCCAGGTAGGCTCTGGGTTTCAGCCGCCTGGGTGTGTTTTTGGGGGTGAACTCCCCCAAAAGCCTGAACGCCCTCGGTTTTCCGTTTGATTTTTTTCATTCCAAGACACGGCCTGGGTTTCCTTTAAAGGCCACCAGAGCTCAGTGGTTGAAGCTCGAGGCCATCGGATTTGGGTGGTGACCCTGGACCGCTACTTCGCGCGGGCCTTGAGCCAGCCGGCAGGGCTCATGTTGGAGTGGTTCAAAACCGACTACCAACAAAACACACGGGTGCCCCTTCTTTCCCATGTGGTCCACATCCAGTGGGGGCATCTGGATTCAACCGTCACGCGACTTCCCCAAAAAAGTGGCGGTGGTTCAAAGCCGTTTTGGGATCCCATTTTGGGGTTTCGGTGAATTCGCCATCCATTTTAGGCCACCCATTTTGGTTGGATTGGGTCCCGTTCACTGGTTGCGGGGTTTTGACCCATGGCCATATCCTTTTGGAGTTTTCTCCCTTGGGGCCACTTCTAAAGACCAAAAAAAAAAAGGTTCGCCTTTGAGGTCCTTCGGGCAAGTGAGGAAACCACAAGGGAGCCAGCTGCTGGGGCCCAGCGGTCCAACTACTTTGCCGAATCAGCTTGGGACTTACAAACACATGGGCATGAGTATGTGTAGTCGGAGCTCGGCAGGTGACCTTATAACTTTGGTGCATTTTGCCAAGGGATGTTAGGACTTTAACTTTTTGCCAACTAATGGGTTTTCCACTAAACCACTAAAAGTTAAACTGTTAGCAGGGGAGCAGAAAGCAAGCGAGACTTACTCAACAGGGTGTTCACAACCACTTTCCTGTTCTGTACAGGGATTATTTGCTGGTAGCCTTTGGGGAGGGGCAAAGCGCTCGAAGTTTGCCATGTCCTCACCTAAACAGGCCCTCTTGTCTTGAACCAAATGGCCGTGGGTCAAAACCAATGGTACCATTTTGGGGTAGGTGCACCACCCATTTTAGAACCTATTTTAGTGGGGATTGGGATGTTCACCAGGGGTACGGGCTGTTGACCCTTTGGCCCCAATGAAGCCCTGTCAGGGAGGGTTTCCTGAATCCCCCTTGCGCAGCCACTTCCTAGTGCACATCTTCTTCAGGCCGCAAGGCCGCGGAAGGTTCCCACTTGGAAGGACCCAAGTCTTTGCCACGCCTTCCTTCCTCCCAACAAAACTCAATCAGCCCCAACCTACTCCCTCCATTCCGAGGTAGGTACTTCCAACAGGTCAACGTTCTTGGGGCCCTCTTTCGCCCGGTCAGAGTCAACAACCCAATAGACACTCGGTGTTGCATGTGTTTGGCTGTGGCTCAAAAAACTGGAATTCCAAAATGGAACCCTGGTAACTGGAAACATGGACCAAGACCTGCCTAACCCCTCGAGTTGAATTTTGAGCCACACCCAAATAGGTAAACCCAATGAGCACGGATGCCTTCCATATCTTATTTCCGACAAGCCCACTTCCGTGTGGACGTATCCGGCCAGCCGCTGGGGCGGTGTCAAAACTGGTTGCCTAGGAAGTCCGCGTGGCCCCATTTCACCCACCTACAAAAGGACACCCCGTCAACGTAGCGCAGGTGGTTGTTTTTTTCTCCACCAACCCAGTCTTCGCCGTTCTTGGCAAGTTGTTGTTCGTTCTTTTTTCCCCCTTTTTGTTTGTCCTTCCTTTTTTCTTTTTCTGTTCATTTTTGCAAGCCCAAAGGGCCTAGTTGTGGAGCAGTTTATTTCCGGGTCTTTTAATGTTGACTTCCGGGTCTCTTTGTCGATTTGGGAAGCCTTGAGGAGACCTGTCAGAAGAAGATGGACTGGGAGCTGCTCAAGGACCACCTTCTTCGCCCGCGCGGGCGAAGCGGGCGCAGCGGGCGAAGCGGGCGCAGCGGGCGAAGCGGGGGGGGGGGGGGGAAATTTTGCTCAGTCCGGCTGCGGAGTTTTTTGGGCGGAGTCATCCAGCAAAAGTAGCTAGGGGTTCCCTCTGACTTCTTTTGATCCATGAGTTCCGCTGTTGGCATGTCAAAATGACGGGGGTGTGGTTGTGGCTGAAAGAGGGGTTTGGGTTGCCACAAACTCTGTGAGGGGCCGTTGAATGTCCAGGTCCAACTTCAAGTTGTGTTTTGAGGGCTCAAGCTTAGATTTGGGAAACTCTTTCAACTTTCAACGCCATTGTGGAACATAATTTGAGGATGTCTTCAATGGGGCCAGCACAAGAGGACCCCTCCTTGGATGACCACCCCTGCTATTTGGCCAACCCGACTTTGCGAGTTGCCAATTCAATAGCATCCCGCAATTGCTTGACTCAGAGTCCTTCCAAACCTTTGGGTGTGGAGGTATGGAGGGCACTTGCGCATGTTTCTCTTTTTGCAACCATCACCAGCTTCCCTTTCACCAGCAAAGCTGCCTTCTTTGATATGCGCGTGACTTGCCCTCTCGTCTCTCGACTCGACTCCGAAAACCGATCTACCCCAACACGACTCGACCCGATTTGACCCGCGAGTGGACATCCCCATGGAAGCCATGTCCGCGAACAGGTCCCTAGTTGAGGCAGAAATCCCCATGGAAATAATGTTCAAAGTGTCCCGAGTTGAGCTTTACACCCCTATCGACGGTTCCAAGCTTGGGCGTACGTCGATCCGGACTCTCACGCCACCAACCTTTCTCTTTTCTTCTTCTTTGTTTTTGGTTTTCAAGCTTTGATCTGGTGGAGCTTCGTTTCTTTGAGTATCGCAGCCTTTGAACTGGTGGATCCGCCAATAAAGCCACCGGCAGCGGTTCCCTTCCGGGTCCCCCCTGGATGTACCCGAGATCATAACTGAGACTTCCCCCACATGGCCAAACGGTTTTCCTTTTGGTCCTTGAACACCAAAAAACTGTACCCTCAAATAAAGGCACGCCCAAATGGGAAGGGGTCCAATGCCCAGTTGCGCGAGTTAAGGAATGGTTACGAGGGCTGAACATCTGGAAGCAAGGGGTCCACTGTTTGTACACGTTCCCATTTTTAACTGGGGCTTCATTTTCACATGGAGCCCAACAAAGGATCCCCAATAAGACACCTCAAGTGATGGCGAATCTGGGGTTTCATACGAATCTTGGGGGGGGGGGGGCGTTACTGTAAATGGTCGAATCAAATCTCTTGCTCCTCTGTGGGAATTGGGGAGAAAACCGATAAGCAGCCTGATGCGTGGTTTTGGGCCCATTTAAGTTTTCGAGGCCGTCACCCACTTGCTGGGCCTTTGAGCAAAAGCGCTTGTCAAACGGGTGGTTCATGTAGGCCTGAATACTGAGAATGGGGATTTGGGATATTTATGCAAGCCGAGATTACCTGGAAGAAGACAGGTGTGAGTATTTCGCCCCCCGGTTCCATTTTGGGGTTCCCCCTATTTTGGACACATGGGTTTGTCTCCAACTAGCTAGGGAATTTCCCCCCCCCCCCCCAAAATGGGTGGGTGTCCCTTTGTTTCTTCTTTGAGCTCAACCCCAAAATCTCTTCAGCATCCTCAACCCCCAAAAATCTGTTCGGCATCCTCCACCCCCAAAAATCTGTTCGGCATCCTCCACCCCCCAAAATCTCTTCGGCATCCTCAACCCCCAAAAATCTGTTCGGCATCCTCCACCCCCAAAAATCTGTTCGGCATCCTCCACCCCCCAAAATCTCTTCGGCATCCTCAACCCCCAAAAATCTGTTCGGCATCCTCCACCCCCAAAAATCCTGTTCTGTTCGGCATCCTCCACCCCCCTCCAAAAATCTCTTCGGCATCCTCAACCCCCAAAAATCTGTTCGGCATCCTCCAAAATCCGGCATCCTCCACCCCCAAAAATCTGTTCGGCATCCTCCACCCCCAAAAATCTGTTCGGCATCCTCCACCCCCAAAAATCTGTTCGGCATCCTCCACCCCCCAAAATCTCTTCGGCATCCTCAACCCCCAAAAATCTCTTCGGCATCCTCAACCCCCCAAAATCTGTTCGGCATCCTCCACCCCCAAAAATCTGTTCGGCATCCTCCACCCCCCAAAATCTCTTCGGCATCCTCAACCCCCCAAAATCTCTTCGGCATCCTCCACCCCCCAAAATCTCTTCGGCATCCTCAACCCCCCAAAATCTCTTCGGCATCCTCAACCCCCCAAAATCTCTTCGGCATCCTCAACCCCCCAAAAAGTTGTTGCATCCTCCAACCCCTCCTCAAACCGAGGCCACCCCTCCGGACCCACCGGTCCGACCGGACCGGGGTCGTCTCTACCGGGCCGCAGGAGCGGCACCGCTGCACGGAGGGCGTGGGGGTCATGGGCCAGACCTCCAAGGCCTACCAGGAGCGCCAGCGCCAGCCCCGCTCTAAAAGCCCAGCGGAAGCCCAGGGGTGGTCATTCATTGGGACGGAAGCCGAAGCTTGGCGTGGTTCGTTGGGAGAAACGGGGGATTTTTGTTTTATTCCGGGTTCAACTTCGGCTTTTTTTTGGTTTTGTTGGTTGGGTTAGTGGTTGGGGTTCCATTTAGCCCAGAAGCGGAGCTGAGGACAGCCCAGTTGGTACTGTCCAATCAGCAGTCCTTGGGTGGCGAGATTGGGCGATTGACGTCCAGATCACAGTCTGGCTTCAAAGGTGTTGCTTGAGCGGTACGAAACTTTCCGGTGTTGGTTTAAAGGGACGTCCGGCTCTTTCTTTTGGGGATTTCAAATACGGCTTCATATCTAGTCTACCCTACACCTTACTTCCTAAGTGGATTGCTCAATCAATTTGCCAAATTGTTGTTTTACATTTTTACCAGTAAAATAGTCCACACCCAAAAGTGTGCGGTCCAGAGATCTCAGGGAGTAAGACAATATAAGATAGATTTGGGGAAGAGTCACGCTACTTAGGGTCTTCAGATGCTGCTCAAAAGCTCGCACAGCAAGGGTCGCTCGATCAATTCGGGGACTCCACTTTAGAAGGAAGACTCAAAGAAGCCGCAAATCAAACTTGGTTGCTTTCTGTTTTCTGCTTAATGGAAAATGTATTAGTTGGTAAAAGTTAAAAGTCTTGACATTGAAGCAAGATGCACCAAACAAAACATATATGCTCTCCCACTCTGCCACCCACAGGGAATCCCCTGACATAACTTGGCTCTCGAGAGGTTCAAATCCTCTTCGGGATGCTAAGCCAAAGGGCCTACCAGCGAACAAACCACCTCAAAGTTCGGCAATACTGTGGATGGACAAAATCCACTTCGCACCACTTTAAAACCACGGGAAACCAAAACGTCTGTTGGTATTTACAGGGGAATCATCGTTCCAGGTTTTTTTTTAAGGTGGTGCAGTATTTCGTCCATCCACAGTAGGTGATAGAAAATCCAGCACGGACTTCAGTTTCTCCAGTTGCTCTGTTCAAGTTCTCTCTCGCAGCCCATCTGAATCATCATCAAATCTTGGTCTTGACGAAGACAATCCAAAACCATGCAAATAATCCAAAGGTTTGTGTTTGCTGCACCTATTTGTGGCTGGGTCTCTGTTAAGCTTCATTTACCCATGTGTGTTTTCATTCAAAACTCTCTGGCCACCACTTTGGGGATTTAACGTCCAACCACTTTCGAAGGGGGCTGTCCTATTGAAATCTGTTGTGTTTGGCGTACCCCTTTTTTGTGGTCCAAGGTATGTATGTCCAAGGAAGGGAGCCCTCATGTTCCTGTTGTAGCTTGGGAAATCATGGCGAGCATTCCCAGGTGGGGAATGGTGGGGATTTTTTGTTGTTTCGCTTTGGTTTCCCTCGATACCAATTCCAAGGGTACCAATTCCAAAGACAGATCCAGTTTCCTCATGGCGTTTTGGTTTCAAACAATTCTAGCAGATGGTTCCTGCCACCCCTTGAAACTCTGCCCCCAAAAAGGCTGCCAACTCCAAAAAAGGTCTGAAAGACACGCCTAAATGCCCGGTTTCCGTGCCAAACTCCCCGTTTCCTTGCGGGCGCGGCTTCGGCTCGGGTGGCTAGGCTGAGAGAATCAGGGAAGTCCCCCTGTGCTCGCCCAAATTCGGTTCCAAAGATGACTTTCCGAGGATGCCATGTGTTCCAGCTGAGGAGCATAGAGAGAAGGCTACCCGTGTTGGTGGTTTCAAACATCACCTACTCGGCCCATGTGCGGTGAGTGTCCCTTGGTAGGGGTGATGTTTTAAGGGGAAATATAGGGAACCCTGTTTAGACAAGGCAGGTTTTTGCAGAACAGCTTGAAGAAAACGCCAGTCACACGCGCATGGGCGATGAGAGCTATCCTATGGGCTTGTCTGCGGCCAGTTGAGGTACACACATCGGCGTCTAACAGCCCGTCCCCCCTAGTTTCGGCTTTGGTTTGCCTCGAAACGACCTTTTAAGCAGGTTCCTCTCAAAAGCGACAAGCTCATATACTGGAAACTTGGTTGAACTTAGAACTACCCTTGGATTCGCAACCCAAAAACTTCTGGATACGGCCCAAACCCACAAGAGGTTCACCGGGGAAGGCACGGGGAAAGCTTTGGACCACGGCAGATCTTGCGAGGACTTGACGGTCTACCCGGAGGCCTTCGGGCTTCGCCTCCAGGCGCGCACTTCGCGAGCGGCGAAAGCGGCGAAAGCGCCGAAAGCGCGCTGCGAGTCCCGGGGGGGGGGGGGAGAAAAGCCGCAGAATGCGAAGAACCTCGTGGCTTCTTTTTTTTTGTGCGTGCGTGCGTGCGTGCGTGCGGGCGGGCGGGCGGGCGGCGGGCGGGCGGGCGGGAAGTGGGCGGGCGGGCGGGCGGTCGTGCGGGCGTGGGGCGGGCGGGCGTGCGTGCGTGCGGGCGGGCGTGCGTGCGGGCGGGCGGGCGTGCGTGCGGGCGGGGCGGTTGGCGCGTGGTTGTGCGTGCGTGCGGGCGGGGCGGGTCGGGTAGACGTGCGTGCGGGCGGGCGTGGGCAGCGGGCGGGCGTGCGTGGCGTGCGTGCGTGCGGCGTGTGCGTGCGTGCGGGCGGGGCGGGCGGGCGGCGGGCGGGCGTGCGTGAGCGGGTGCGTGCGTGGCGTGCGTGCGGGCGGGCGGGCGGGCGGGCGGGCGGGCGGGCGGGCGTGCGTTTGTGTGTTTGTGTGTTTGTGTGTTTGTGTGTTTGTGTGTTTGTGTGTTTGTGTGTTTGTGTGTTTGTGTGTTTGTGTGTTTGTGTGTTTGTGTGTTTGTGTGTTTGTGTGTTTGTGTGTTGTTTGTGTGTTTGTGTGTTTGTGTGTTTGTGTGTTTGTGTGTTTGTGTGTTTGTGTGTTTGTGTGTTTGTGTGTTTGTGTGTTTGTGTGTTTGTGTGTTTGTGTGTTTGTGTGTTTGTGTGTTTGCGTGTTTGCGTGTTTGTGTGTTTGCGTGTTTGTGGTTTTGTGGTTTTGTGGTTTTGTGTGTTTGTGTGTTTGTGTGTTTGTGTGTTTGTGTGTTTGTGTGTTTGTGTGTTTGTGTGTTTGTGTGTTTGTGTGTTTGTGTGGTTGTGTGTTTGTGTGTTTTTGTGTTTGTGTTTTTGTTTTTTTGTGTGTTTGTGTGTTTGTGTTTGTGTTTGTGTGTTTGTGTGTTTGTGTGTTTGTGTGTTTTTGTGTTTGTGTTTGTTTTTGTGTGTGTGTGTGATTGTGTGTGTTTTTCTTTGATTGTTTAACGCCGTGCCATTTTGTCTTTTTTCTTCTTCTTTGGATTGTTGGTTTGCCTGTTTTTTTCTTTGAAGGCTGTGTAGGAAAAGCATGCCTCGTTGCTCAGATTCGAGGTTTCATTGCGAAGAAGCATTGGCCGTGCTGTAGGGAGAAACGGTGCGTTTTTGTGGGAATCCAAGAGTGCAAACTTGATGGGCCATATCTGCCAAAGAATCCCTGGAAAAGGCGCATTTCGGAAGGGCGACACACTGTTTGGGCACGTTCGGGTGGATGTTCCCTAAGATCAGGGCCCAGGAACGGTTGTTTGCTTTCACTGGTCGCCCCAAGCCGCGACAGGGTGGCCCAACTGGGGTCAGGGAAGCCAAGACTAGCCAGACAAAGCACCTAACCTCTCTTGTTAAGCAAATCGACCCTTCAAGCTTTTGGATACCGTTTTTGGGTTTCTGATTCCATTCAGTAAAGACCCCAAAAGGTTAGCCATTTATTTCTAGGTCGTTTGGGCAAGTGAGTACACACCAAGCATGTGAAAGGGAACCTCACGCCATGTTAACACGCACAGACTCGCCGAGTGAAGGCGAACTGCGCTTAGGTCCGTTTGGTGGAGAATCGAGGGATTCCATTGGTTTCAGTTTGGTTCTAGTTAGTTCCACTTTTATTCAAAGGACACCTACAATGGCATGTTCCTCGTGATCATACTGTCGATGGGCAAAATCCTGCACCTCCCTGCAACCATGGGAAACTATTGTTTATTGGCATTTATCCTTCCAGGGTTTCTGAATGTTGGTGCGCCATGGGTTTCATTCATCCGCAGTATTTTCTGACTCTTCACCTGGAACTATCTCCTTTGGGGGGGCTTCCTTCTGTGGATGGACGAAATCCATTTCGCACCACCTAAGACACCCTGGTTTCTGATGCTTCCCCAAAGTAAATACCATGGTTTCAAAGTGGTGGGGGGGGGGCTTCCTTGGACCCCTACGCTGACATGTCTTAGACCCCTCTTGATCAGGACGTGGTGCGGCGAAGCGAGGGCCCGGCATGGTCGGGGCCTAGGCGTGCAGTTTTTGCCCCGGGTGCGTCACCTAGGTCCCCCAGATCGGTGCCCTGTTACCGTTTCTTTTTTTTGGGAGGGAGGGTTCTCTTACTAAAAGAGACTACAGAAAAAAGTTGGCACCCTTATTCTAACCTCTACTGGAGGACCTAGTCTCTGTTTTTGCGGCGGTATCCTTTTTGGGGCCTGGTTTCAACGGGCAACCAAAAGGAGACTAAGCATTCTAAGACACACCCAGGTGTTCCCCCAAAGCTAGGTGTTTTTTGCTCGAGGGTGTAGGGAAAGCAGCAGTTGAAACCACCCCATTTTAGGAGTTCCACTATTCGGCACTGTTATTGGGCCTCGCACCAAGACACATGAGTTTAGAATGGGGTTAATGTGATGCAGATCTCAGGTCCAACCGTGATTTGTTTCCAAAACCCGTCAAAAAAGTCTGGGGAACCAGTCAGACATATTTTCCCCACAAACAAAAACCGAGCCAGTCGAACCTCCCAGGTTCCCGTCCGATTTTTTTTTCGCCCTCAACTCAGGCGCCAGGGCTCGGTCATGGACTGCCTGGTGGAGGGCGTGCCCACCTATGGCCCTTGGGACGGGAAGTGGGTTGCACTTGGATTTCAAGGAGCACCCCCGGGGCTGAACCCTGGTTTGGGGCTGCGAATTTGGGAGGGAGGATAAGGAGGGGCCCAAGCTCGCCCTGGCCTGAAGAAGGCAAGAAGGACCCAAGGGGCCCAAGGGACCCAAGAAAATGGACGGGAGCCAAGGAGGGCCTCCGAAAGTAGATCCTCCATGTTTGGGGGGGTGCCAATGACGCCTGGACACGAAAAGGAAAGCCACCACCTGGAGACCTAAGAGAACACGGGACAGGTTCGGAGGCTTTGCATTCTTTGGGACTACTGGGAGTTGCAGACATTCCAGAATGTCTCTGGAAGAGCAGACCTTCGCTGGGATCTCTTTTGCGATTCTATGCTGCAAAGGCTGCAGTGCAATCAACAGGTAGATGGCTGTGGGTCAAAAATAGGTACCCAAAATGGGTTGCCCTGGTAAAGGGGTCCAAAGACTAAAACCTGCGGTCCTGACCCACACCCAGATGGAATTTTCTACATTGTAGCACAGCCCCAGCCTGGAAGAGATGCGGAAAACGAGGACCTTTTGACTCTTTTGTGCCCTTTGCAGGTGAACCTTGAATGGGGTTGATTCCCCATTCTTTTCAACCATCGTTCTTTTCCAAAACCAGCTGTTTTCCCAGGGTTTTGGGTGGTTTTGTAGAAAGAAGGATGCCTGGAAAGAATGGACATGGAAGGTACCCCTAGAAACTTGGAACCCTCTCTCCCGATCGAGCTCCTGAACTTCAGTCACTTTTTGGTAAACCCACCTAATCAGAGAACATCGGGTGGGGGCGTTTTGCCAAGAAATGCTTTGGTGCATTTTGCTTGGATGTTAGGACTTTCACTTTTTGCCAACTAATGGATTTTCCATGAAACCACTATTTTAGCAGGGGAGCAGAAAGCCACCGAGAATAGTTTAAACCACCTAATCAGAAAACCAGAGAAGCTCAAACGTTCAGCTGAATCTCCTTTTGGGGAGCCCGCTTGTGACTGAGGCATCTCTTTGCCCGGCGGCGCTTGCGGTATTGGCCCGGGATCCCGGGAGAGATTTTCTCCGCGGTTTTTGTGGGTGCGCTGTCTTCCAGTGAGCCGATGTGACATCGTCCAGTGTTTTTCTTTTTGAAAAAGGAACGTGCTCTGCTAAAGTGGCAATGGTATCCCATACCCAAAAAGAGGGCCCTCCATTTTGTAGGGGCCACTGGATCTCCCCAAATCAAAAGGTCAATTGACCGGTGGTTCCCATTGAAACGGGCCACTTTTGTGTAGGTTCCAGAAAGGGACATGGAGGATTACACCACGAAAAGCAAGCAAGGGCCCTGAAAGACCGTTGTTCCAAAGACCTTTCAGCTTCCACGTTTGTTGTTGGGAGGGTGGCAGTCTAGTGTCATGCCCATGACATCCCCCCCACCCCGCATATTTTCGCAACCGAGCTCAACGAAGCCCATGCCCTGGGAAAACAAGCGACATAATTCCGATTCAAATCACCGAGCACAAATTTTCTGCCGAATTTCCCTGGAAGTTGCACACTAGATCCCCCAGTAGTGCCCTTCTCTGGGGGAGGGTTCCCCTACTAGCAACCGCCCATTTTCCCAGGGGTTTGGCCTCTTGTTTGAAGAGAAGGATCCCTGAAGAGAATGGGAATTCTACTGCTAGACTTGTGTTGTTGGGGGAGGGGCTGTTTGGCTAACGCCAAAATCTGTTTTTGGGGCCGCACACGCAGATTTGGGGTTGAAAATCAGGACCTTCCAAGTATTTAGGTGATCGCTTAGGAGCAAGGGATCGGCTTGCCTTGAAAACCTGGATTCGCATCTCCAGATGGAAGAGCCTCCCGCCTAGCCTGAAAAACCCAGCACTCCTTTCATGTTTGGAACATGTCGTTGTTTGCTTTTTGCAGTTGCAACTTCCTCTTTTGTCTGTTTTCACATATTGTTCAAAACCATGGACTCTTGTTGGATTGGTTTGGGGAGGTAGTTGTAGAGGGTAAATGGGAAACCACCCCTAACCTCCAAACCACCAATCCAAGCCACCGATCAACGGGAAGCTGAGTTGCTATCTTGTTGTGGATTGGTGACTTGAGTGGCTTTCATGCTCCTCGGGAAGGGAAGACCGACAAACAACAAGACGAGAATCTACCCCAAAACACAGTTAGAGGCACGAGTCACACAAAAGTCAAAACACATGCGCGCGCGCAAACACGAGTGCACACGCACGCACGCACATCAAGAAGGTCCCGAACCATGCAAAAGTTAAGCCTGAGTTGAAACGCACACTTATAGATCCACTGCCAGAAAAAGCCGAACAAAGCTATATAGCTGGTCGCATGGTCACCCGGGGTGAGTGACTAAGGTGACCACTTCCTGGAGAGCTTTGAACGAGGCGAGGGGTGACTCGAAAGCCGGCCGTTTCGGCCGCCCAATGGTGGACTAATTGATCACTCTTCAAGTAGCGCCCCAGGCAGTCCTCGAAGTTTGTTGGCCTCAAAATGGTTTTACTTGAGCTTCCGAACACCGGCGTCATGATTTTGACATGCAGGATTATCAAAGTCACAAGTTGTTTTTCCCGTTAACGCACCACCTAGGGGGTGACTTTGATCATGGTACAACAATGGGGCCACAAAAGACACACCCTTCTTTGTTTATTGCTCTTAGAGAGAAGCCTACCACAACCCTAGGCTCCCTGGCCGGCAAGGGTTCCAACTTACACAGAGGATTTGTTCCAACCGGGTTGGGCCAACCTCTTGTTTGAAATTGCACAGCCGCCGTTTTACGGTTTCACCATTTGGGCCTGGCTCAAAGTTAAACAGGAGGGGCAAACCGCAGGTCTTGGGTTCCCATGTCTCCACCTGCCAGGGCAAGCCATTTTGGAATTCCGGTGGTTTGAATTCGCCACAGCCTTTTGTGGTGCAACCATGTGGTCTCAGCGCAGCGATGCATAACACGAATCCCGAATCCCGCTCCGGGAGATCATTTCCCAACGCCAAGCAGAAACAGGCTTGCTCCGGGTCCGGCTGCTTTACAGGGGACTAGTTGATGTCAGATGCTTAGCCCAAAGGTATCTATCAGGGATCCTGTGGCTCGGCGAATTGGAGGTTGGGTTCACCACTATTAGAAATTGGGCTCACCATTGAAAGTGAGCACCCTCCCCATCCCCCCCTTCAATTGGAAGGAAGCTGCCAGGAAGAGCCCCCAAGGAAGAACCTGGCCCCCCCAAAAAGAGAGAGAGAGAGAGAGCAAAAAACGCAAGACACTCCAACCGTTTTGCCCCCCCTCCCCCCCCTCCCCCCTCTCCCCCCTCTCCCAAACCAAACAGCCAAAAAATAAATAAATAAACAGAACAACACGACATGCAACCCGGCCTTTCCGCCGAACGGGTCACAACGACATGCAACCCCGTGGAGGCGAGGAGCGTGCAGCCCCGGTGCCTCGGCATGAGTGCCGGATCAGCGGCTGAAAAGGGGGCCCCAAAGCGGTTTTCGCCGGAGCTCTCTCCGTGTTCGCACCAGGAAATGAAACCATGGTTGAAGCCAGAACGTGCGATTCCAAGACCAACACCTGCGGTTTGCCCTAGCTGGAAGGCTTCCTTTCCTTTCGGGGCTCTTTCCTTTAGAGTCTCTCTTTTTTGGGGTGGCTTTAAGAGCCAGGATATGGACCGCAGGTCTTAGTCTACTCTTCCATTTGCTGGGGCAACCCATGTTGGGGCCCCTAATTTTGAGCAACACCGAGTCAACGAGATCCCGAGAGTTTCGACACCACATGTAGCGAACGAGCGGTGGCGCTTTTTGTGTTTCTCTTGAGGGGTTGCCCATCGAAACACTGGGAGGCGGGGATTTGGGTCTTCATGGGATGCGGGGCGTAGCCGCACGACGAAAAGGAGCCGACCTGGGTCAGACGAGCTCACCCATCCCCATCTCCAATTTGTGAATTGGCTATGGGTCAAACCCCCGGTTATCCCCTAGTGAACATCCCAAATCCCCACTAAAATAGGTTCTACAATGGGTGGTGAATTCGCCTATCCCAAAATGGGATTACATTGGTTTTGAACCATGGCCAATTGTTGCAACTTGTGCAGATGCTCAGTTCCCCCTGGCAGCCTGAGCCACTTGACAGGGTTTCACTCCCCCAACGGGTTGCAACTCGTGCTTTCAAAATTGAGGGGCCCCCAAAATTCGCCCCCTATAGTGCAGTCGTCTCCTTTTAGCGTCTTGACCATTTGCTCGCAAAGTCCTTTTGGTCAGCCTTGTCGGTCACTGCGGTGTCGTGGTGTTCTTTTGGCTTCGGAGATCGGGAAACATATTCCTCCTGACGCTGTCCCCAGAAATGTTTTCAGCAACGTGGAAGCTGGGTGGGTGTTAGAACACTCTGGCCAGATGCAACGACATATTCCGCTTCCCCCCCGCTTTTGTGAGTCGTTTGGGTGTCCTTTCTGGCTTTGTGTCTTTGTGTTCTCTCGGCTTGGCCCCTTGGTCTTCCAGGCCATGCGATTTTTCCCCCTGTAAAATCTCAGTTCCAAGGGCTGCCTGCGAACGAAAGTTTTTTTTGGAAGGAACACTTTTGCCGGGGTTGGGTGTTGTTTCCAATGGGCCCAAGCAGTTGCCGTCCTTTTTGCTGAATTGTAAACACTTGACATTGCCCTCGGCCAGTCCGCTTTTGGCTGGCTTTGAGGTAGAAAAAAGTGCTTGAGTTTGCCTTGAAGTGTTGCCATGAAAGTGAGTAAGTCGGCGCCGAAATGCTGAGCTGGTTTCCAAGCTAGAAGGTGGGTGTATGTCCAGCGATTCCACCTGGCTTTCAGGGCCAGAACGAGAGCCGCAGAGAGCCGCAGAATCGTGGGCCAAGCGCAGGTGCAAATTTCTAGGGAATTATTGTTTTTTGTGGGATTTTGTTGTTTCCTAGAGGGTTCGACGGGAGTTGGACCTGTTTTCAGAGGGGATTTGACAGGTTTTTAGAAGGGAGTTTTAGGGGGCATTTTGACCCGGTTTTAAGGGCAATTTGGCCGGTTTCTAGGAGGATTTGGAAGATGATTGCATGCTCCAGTGAGGCTGCCCGAAAGCTGACCCTGCTGAGCCTGCATCTTGCCTACGTTTTTTTTGCATCCATGCTTTGTATTGATTGCTCAGCTTGTAGTTCTGCCATGGCGCCCAGGTCACAGGCTGAATCCATATTGATGCAGGATGCTAGCAGCGGCTTCCTGGTTGTCAGATGCATGCGCCAAGACAGGCGGCCCTCTGCGAGTTGGGATCGGCCTCAGCCGCCCGCAGCAGACCAGCTGGAGCGCTGGCGGCGGCCAAGGCGGAGGCGGTAACGCTGCGCCCACATCTCGAGGCCCTGAACGCCGGCCCGGCTAGCGGACTGCGTCAGCGCCAGCCCTGCGGGACAAGGCGACGATCCGCGCGGCGGCAGCTGCTGTGCATGGCTGGCTGCTGGAGGAGCGCTCTCCTTTCCGCGCGATCCTGGCAGTGTTGGCCGGCAAGGGCGTGTTCTTCTCCGGGCATGGTGGAACAACACTCCGAAGACCGGATGCTTCGGAGAAGTTTGGTGAACTTGCACTCGGATGGGAGTAGGCGTGCGTCCAGGCCGAAGGCCGGGGTTGCGTCCAGGCCGAAGGCCGGGGTTGCGTCCAGGCCGAAGGCCGGGGCTTGTAGACTGGGTGTTTTTGCTTTTCTTTGCATGGCGGCTCTCAGCTTTTTGTAGAATCGACAGCGGCCGCTCGAGACAGCGGCTGCTCGAGAGCGGCCAGCTTTGGCCGTGGCCGTTCCAAGTTCTAGTGCAAGTGAAGCGGCAGTCGGCGAGCTCAGTGCTATCTTGCATGCGTGAATCTCAGAGCTGTTGTGGAGTTGAATGTCGAGCTTTTTTGGCGGCAGGCATATAGTGTGTTCGGAGTGCTGCTAGCTTGGCAGACCCGGCGTAGTTTTTGTTGTCGCCTCCGCCATGAGGCCTGAGTGCGCGCCCAGCTTATCCTTGGCTGACACGGTGACAAGTACGGCGTGAAGGCAGACATTTCTTCGGGCAGGCCTCACTGCGTCTGGTGCTGCGGTGGCCTGGTCACCGGCTCCTCGTGTCGTGGCGAGCCACTTCCGAGCGTGGTCAAGCAGCTCGTGATCACGGCTGGAAGCAGATTGCTACGCACCTCCGAGTTTCTAGCTCTTCTACCGGCGTGGCCTGCACTTCAATGGCAGCGCGGACCGACAGCGCCGAGTCTATTCCCATGTGATCCAGCAGGCTGCTAAGTTGGCCGTGTGCCCGGGCACGAGGCACGAAGAGGACGACGGTGGACTGCGGCCTGGTGGTCGTCATTTGCTGTGGGTGGCACAACACTCCGAAGACCGGAGGCAAGTGCGAGGGGATGCTTTGGAGAAGTTTGGTGAACTTGCACTCGGAGCTACAGCTTTTGCATCACTGGGAGCAGGATGCCGTGGGCATGAGGGCATTTTTGCAGATCGCCTGCGGCTGGACGGATGCAACTTGGTGGCACTCAGGCCTTTCTGGTGATGTCATTCCCATCAACTTGAATGTGCTTTCGAGTTTGGCGTTGGCACCTACTAGGTAAGGCTGCTATGGATTTCTTGGAGTTGGCAACCTGTCTGCCGAACTTCATGCCCATGCTTATGCTATCAAGCAGCTCACGGACAAGATTCTGGTGGAGTTTGCAGCTCCTGCAGCACCGATGCCCTTCTCAAAAAAGCCTCGGTTTTTGCTTTGTTTGCGATGACCGTTGAGACCGTGCATGAGCCTAGGCTTTGCTACCGTGTGTGTGTGTGCTGACGGAGCTTCTGATGAACAAAAGGCAATTTTGATGTTGAAGGAGAGCTTCTGCAACATTTGCCGCACGCAGCTTGATTTTGCTCACGCGATGAGGCGTGTGGGCAGTTGGAGTCTGCTTGCAGACCCGTATTTGCGGAGGGTGTGACTTAGCTGTGCTTACATGATTGTTTTGCCACTATGACATATTTACATTGACCGATGTGACTGTATTGCGAGGACCCGAGAGGAGATAACACGTTCATCCTTATTGACATTGTGGGCTTGCCGGGCTTTTCACAATTTTGCTCTTGCAGACATCAGGCTTGTCTAACATTTGCATCTGAAGTGCGCCATCTAAAGATGTTCTTGTTGTGTCTGGCAAGAGCAGCCCGGTGCAGCAGTGGAAAACAGCTACTTTTTCAAGGCAGGGCCTGTCACGGTGCGCTTGGAAGGACGGGCTTTGTCTTGTCAGTCTTAGGGCCTGAATCTGGAAGGTCAGCCGACATTGAAAGTGTTGAAGGTCTTGCATTTTGAGAAATGTTTCAGAAGCTGCCCCTCAAGGATTGTGCTATGCGGCTGAGGTCAAAGGTCACCCGGTTTCTGCTTGAAACTGAGTGATTCTGCTGCCCGGAGTTGGACCAGCTTTGAGAGGAGGAAGTTGACCGGTTTCTAGCAGGATTTGACCGGAGTTGAACAGGTGACCGGTTCGTATCGGCTTCTAGAAGGGGCTTTGACCAGTTTCTACAGTCTGTTTAAAGGGGATTTGATCGGTTCTTAACAGGTTTTTGAAGGGGCCGCGCGACATGGGGCCATGAGTTTTGAATTTAGTGGTTCCAAAAGAAACACCATAGCCACATAAAACGAAACCCGTCCGCACCACTTTGAAACCATGGCGGACACGATACGGTTTTGTTGTTATTTACATTGGGGAGTCCAATCCTCTTTCAGGGCTTCTGAATAGTGGTGCGATATGGATTTCGCAACCATCCGCAGTAGTTATCCCATTAAGTTTTCATTGAACTCGATTCGTTGTCTTATTTCTTCTTGAACTCCCTTTGCACTCCGTTCTCATTGGGGCTCCAACCTTAAAGAAGACGAGTCCACGGTCGGTGTTTGCTGTTTTTAGGCACCCTGTTTTTGGTTGGTGTAGGGACACCAGAAGGAAAACCCACCCCATTTGGGGGGTCCCCTTTCAGAGACTTCCGGCAAGCCCCAACCCGCACCTTCCCCCAATTTTTTTTGAGGGGTTCCATAAAGACAAGGTGAACCACCCAAGAAACCCAGGGTTTCTGCTTCGCTTCCCCAGCGTAAGTACCGCAACAAAGCTTCTGGTTTCATTCCCACGGTTTCAACCACTGTGACGGATTTTGTCCATCCACAGTAGTAGTTCCATTTTCCTGCTTCCATTTCCCTGCGCCAAGGGAATCACCCTTTCACCAAAACATGTCTTACCTACTATACTGGTGTCCTCGCGTGCGCTGCAAAGGGTTTTCGCGTCGCGCGCGCGAGAGCGAAAGATCGAGGCGCCGCCGTTGGCCAGCAGCTTCACTCGAGAAGGCCGTGGGGGGGGGGGGGGGTGGATGTTTTGGAGGAGGGGGTGGTGAAGGAGGGTGGAGGGGGGGAGGAGGTGGGTGGGAGAGGAGGTGGGGGGGAGGTGGGGGGGAGGTGGGGGAGGTGGGGGAGGTCAACCAGTCGCAAGATGTTGTTTCGATCAAAGGAGACCTTGCATTTTGGATCAAAGGAAAACGGCTTGCTCTATCCCAGCCAATCCTAAGTTTGGGTCGGGCAGGTTCACGGGATCCACATTGCGGGGCTTCCAAAAGGGCCAAAACAAGTTTCCCCCCATTTTTTCCGACACGCCCAAGTGGGCTTCCCCTTTCTTTGGGGTCTTGACAACTTATGGAAATGGCTTGCAATGGGAGTTCAAGGGCAATTAAGACGACTCATCGAATTCAATGGGCATATCAAGAAGAATCGAAGCCAAATAGAATGGAACGCAAAGAGACTGCAAAGGCAATTCCAAGGAATGCCAAGCGACTCCAAAGCCACCGACGCCGGGGAATGCCCAGGGAGTCCAAGTGAAGCCCAACTGAAGCCCAATCCGCGGGTCCCATTTTGACCGGCGGCCTAGGAAGGACTCCAAAAGGCCTTCAGATTTTGTGAGACTCGCGGGGATATTTTTCGCGAAGCCCACTGATGTGCTGAACGGGGCACCGAAGTTGGATGCATGTGCGCCGCCCAATTCAAAGGCACAGGTTTTGTTTTTGTTCCCCGCCCGAGAGACATTGGACAGCACTGGTCTCTGCCATGGTCCCCGAGTACTTTGCGGGAAACTTTCGAGAGGTGACACAACTTGTTGGAGTTTCTTCTGACCTTTCGTCTGGAGATCTCCGGTTCGAGAGTGACACACCGGAAGAGGGATTTCTTTGTTTGCAATGTTGGATCTCCACGAACACGCAGATTCAAGGATCAAACCAACGCCTATATCCTCGAATCGAACAGGGCAGGAGGGCCCCTGGAAAAGGAAGGGCTAAACCAGCATCTCGAAACGTCATTTCGGTTTCATGGCAATTTGGGGAGGGTCTACGGGACATCAAGTTCAAATTCAACCCATCCCTAGGAGCCCAAGGCCTCATAATTTCAGCCCTTTGGGGGTCAAAGGCCTTCATATTTGGGTTCTTGAGCTCCTAGGGTATTTTCTGCTGGATTTGCGTAAGGTCTGCTCCCAACGGACGGAGCAGCTGCCAAGTGTATGTCCGTGCGCCCAGCGTCCGGCGGACTCTGCTTAGAGCGATTTATGACATGTCTGGTTCCTCCTGCCCCCCCCCCCCCTCCGCGTATGATCACTTAGAATCTATTTTTCAACCTCCTTCATTTAGGGCATTGCTTTCTTTAAGGGTTTTCTGCCTTCCCCCGGTTGCTCGAGGGATGGATGGCACCTGCATTTGCTGACGAGTTTAGCAAGGGCACAACGAACCACGTGCCCTCTTGAGGCTCTTACCAGGCACCAGACACCAGTTGGTGGTTTATCCCAGTATTTGCAGGGCTTTATCCATTCCAACTAGTGCAGGATTTTGTCCATCCGCAGTATTTTGACGCAGGACTATTGACTGACTTACTTCAAATGACCCGGGTTTTGCACTGTGATTGGCGGTTGTTTCACGAACAGCCCATGTTTGGAAGCCGGCGGATGCATTCAAATTTGACATTCACAAGTTCTTGCTAAAATCAGAAGACCAACACCAGATTCTCGTGTGTGGCCAAATGGTTTTTTGTTCCTCAAAACAAAGGGTTTCCCGGAATCAAAACAAAACAACCAACACTAATGCGGACCCCGATGAATAAACCCGTCCTATTTTTCTGTTTGGGTGTCGGGCCCCACAAAAGTGGTCTGAATCCCCACTAAAAGGGGACACAATGAATCCAAAGTCAACCAGGGGTTTTAGTTCCGGGGTCAGAATTACTTCCCCTTCGCCTGGAACTACTGTGGATGGACGAAATCCTGCACCACCTAAGAAACCATGAAAAACCATTGTTTGTTGGTATTTACAGGGGAATCATCTCCAGGATCTCTTAGGTGGTGCAGGATGTCGTCCATCCACAGTATCTCCTTGTGGTGTCCTTTGATTCGGCTTCCCCAAGAAACAAGGGCTACCAACTCAAAAGAAGACGCACCCAGATGTTGTTAAGGGACACCAGAGGGGTTGGTTCATAGGTCACGTATCGGTCCAAACCAATCGTTGACCCCGTAGCAATCAACCCGAGTTCATTCATAGGGGGGTGTTCCCCTCCAAAAGTGGTCTGATTCCTTCCGATATCCAGGGAAAAGCATCCCCCTATCAAGACAAAATGGGGGTTGATTTTTCATATCACCTGGGGAAAGCACCCCCCTATGAATCAAATTGGGGTTGAGAAAAATGATGGGGCCAAACGAACATGGGGGGGTGATTTTCATACGGGGGGTCTGAAAAAAAAGGGAAAACACAACAGGGAAAAAACGACTCCACCCGCAGCCCGTCGGGGAAACAAAAAGAAGAGAGAAAATAACAAACACATGTTTTTTTTTCCTCGCTTCGCCGCCCGCCTCTCGCGCGCCGAAAAAAACAATTCCGAGGCCCTTCGCGTGGCACGAGCGCTTGCGCACGCGGGAGGAGTGGCTGGAGGTGGCCCGGCCCTGGCGGGGCAGCCCAGCGAGTCGAACGGCGGCGGCTTCGGGCGCGAGGCTTCGGGTGGTACCCTCCCCCCGTCTGTTGACCCCGGATGAATAAACCAACCGTGAACCTGTTTATTAATATGGGGGTGTTCCCCTCCAAAAGTGATGAATCCGGGTCAACATTAGGTCAAAATGGACAACTTCCCGTCCCGTCTATTTTTATGGGGTTGCAAAGGAACGACCCTTTTTTGGGTGGGGTGGGGGGGGGGGGGGGTACCCGTTTTGGGGTTGGGGTTGGTACCTAAAGGAACGACCGAAATCCGCATGTTCTGGGTGTCGTCAGTGTGATGATGGGGCGCCCACCTCCCAGCACATCCGCTTAATCTGCAATTCGTGGGTGTCTGTTTTTTCCGTGGTACCCTTTTTGGGCTTGGCTTAAAGGAAAACCAACAGGGTAACTTTTATTTTTTTTTGGGGGGGGGTCCGATCCCTGACAAAAGAGAGAGAGAGAGAGACCCAAATTGCCAATGGGAACCCCTGGTTTCTGATGAACAATACAACCGCTAAAGAAGCCCCCTCATGGGAGTGGAAAGAGGGGGTAGCGGGTAGCGGGAAGCCCGGATTAAGAAATTCTTGGTTTGAGATGGGGGGTGTCCCTCTTAGGGGTTTATCACTTTTTGAGGGAACACCCTGTATTCATAGAACGGTTTGTTAATCTGGCGTCAGCATTCATTTTATGTAGTCTATGGTGCATTTAGCAGGGATATATGACGAGCTCCAAATTCTCCCTTGCGGAACGAGCCCAACAAACGTCTCAATGAATGTCAAGAGTTGGAACCTCCCCAAGTGGTTGGAAAACGGACTTCCTGGCAAAGGGGATGTGTCTGTTGGGGCCTGACGGTCTGGATTTGGAATCCTTCCGTGAAAGAGCGCACCGTTTTCTCCCAAGCCTTTCATCCCTTCCCAGAAAGGTTCTTCAAGACCCTTCCAAGCGGGCCAGAGAGAGAGAACAACCAAGACCCAAGCTGGACAGTTTGAAAGGCAAGAACCCCAGGTCAAGAGGGTTGGTCACTGAGAAAAGTGTCAACAGTTCGTTGCTGTGCTGACCGTGACCCCCTCAAAAAGTCTTGGAAGGTTCCAATCCAATCTACGATCCGACCGAACCAGGAAGAAAGGTGAGAAATCCAATTTGTCTCCATCCTTGCGCCGCGGAGGGAGGCCCAAAGGGTCTGGTTTGTGCAGCATGCCAGTCATCGGGAGAACTGGACCCCCTAAGATCTAATGTGCATGCATATGTATATATGTCAATGTACTCTCTCTCTCTCTCTTTTCTTAAGTCTATATGGATATGTCCTTTTCGAGCGCACCCTCTTTTTTTCAAAGTGGATTAGAAGGACAATGTGGACAAATACAGAATACTGTGAATGGACGAAATCCTGCACCACCTTAGAAACCCTGGACGGATTCGATTCCCCTGTAACTGCCAACAAACCTTTGGTTTCCCAAGCTTTCAAAGTGGTGCGAACGGATTTCGCAACCATTCACAGTATGGAGGTTTTTTTTTTTTTGCCCCCAAACATGGTTGGTCTTCCTTTGGCTCGCCTTTCGCCAACCGAAAGGGGTTCCAAGCCCCCCCACCCCCCCACCCCCCACCCCACCCCCGACCCCCCACCCCCCCAACCACCCAACCCCCCACCCCACACCCCCCACCCCCACCCCCCACCTCTCACCTCTCACCCCCCGCCATGGTAAGTTCCCTTCTGAGGGCCTTCCTTCCGGGCCGTGGCGACGCAGATGCCGGGGCCGGGGCCCCGCTCGATCGACCGCAACGGGTTCTTGCTCGCGGTTCTGGCTGGCGGCTGTCCAGGACGCTCATTTTGGGTAAAACCGCCAGGATATGTACTGCAGGTTTTAGTCAACTTGAGTCCATTTACCAGGGCAACCCATGTTGGCGGGACCCAGCCTTCTAGAATCCACTTGTTAGACCCATTTAGGGTGACCCCCGCAAGGTGATTTTCGCCAGACTGGGAGGTAAACAGGGGCCAGATCCAACTCTGGGTTTCCTTTGGTTTCCTTTTTTTTTTTTTCCGACCTGGGCTCCCTGAACCACCACGCAAGCACACACGTGTAAGCACACACCTCAAAGACCTGATTTGCAAAGCGCTCCTCTAGTGAAGGCGATTTTGGACTGGGGCAAATGTATCCTCTCAAAGGAGGCCTTGATTGACTGAGAGGCGTTGCAAGTGGGAGCCACAGCCTAGTTTGGGTTGTTGAAGCTCAGTGAATGTATGCCAGATGGCGTCGCCAAATAAGGGGATGCTTAACAGCCCGTTGCAAACATGTGGTTTTGGGTCAAAATTAGGAACCCCCAAATAGGTTGCCCCGGCCAGGTCAATGGAACCAAGGATGAAAACCCTCGGGGTTCTGGTGGTCAAATTTGACCCATACCCATATACTGAGTCAGAGCCATACAGTAGCAGGGGCAGCAACAGCCTATGGTCACGAAACCATGGCCACTAAGGACCATTAAAGGTTTATGAAATTCCTATGGCTCCTCTTGCCGTGGCGCTGAATCAGTGTTGCAACTGTTTGCAGAGGCCAGATGTTGGTAGGTTGTTTAAGATTTTCTATTGGTCGCAACTAAGAGCTTGCGTTGCAACCGCTTGGTCTTGCCAGAGCAGCTGCTAGTTGGGCATCACTGAAAGGGTCAGCACTTCGCAATTCGTTTTCAATCCTTTCAGGGTGACCCCTGCATTCTCCAAAGTGCAAGTATGATGAGTGAATCATTACATCCAAAAATCATCCCGAGACTGAGCCACACACTCAAACCATAAGCCCTGCCTACATGGACCTGGCCAAGTGTCTTTGAGCTCATCACCTATGAAGCACTCTTATTCTAGAAACCAGGGCTCCCCATTGGCAATTTGGGTCTCTCTCCCTCTCTCTCTTCAGGGATCGGACCCCCCCCCCCCGGAAAAAGGTTTTTCGGTTATCCTGTTGGGTTTTCTTTCAGTCAAGCCCAAAAAGGTTTCCACGGAAGAAGGTATTCCCCTGTTTCTGTTGCTTTGGGAATAGACCAGACACCCGGTGCCTGTTTTTCTTCTTTGGGCGAGGGGGCAAAGGGACATGCGACTACCTGGGCCTCAGGCTGCACACAGGGACATCGCCCCAATTTTTTAGGGCATCAACCCCCTGTCGGGTGTTGCTAGGCCAAGAATGGGCCCTTCGGAGTGCCGGGGGCGCCAAACACTGCGGGGCGCGCGCGCGTCCGTTGGGGGGTGGAGGGGGGGGGGAGGGCTAGGTGGGTGTAAAGGACAAGGAATAGAGGCGACGCCCCCCTCCCGTTTCGCGCCTTCTTCGGGGTGTCGGGAGCTGTTGTTGTGTTGTTTGGATGCGCCTTTTTTGCGGGTACCCTGCTCGGAGCAAATTCGAAGCGCTTTCATGCCCCCCTATTCTGAGACGCGGTGAAATTTCCCTGTGTTCTCTGCATCCTATTGCATCCCTCACATCGCCTGCATCACCTGCATCGATCCCATCCCTGCATCGTGCATCCCCTGCATCCCCTGCATCCCTTGCATCTCTTGCATCCTTTGCAGCCTTC